ACGATCCAACAACGCATTACGCACGCGCGCGGCAGGTGCGCGCTCCACAGGCGCGGTTGGTGTGGACGTGTTTCGCGCGATTCAAGCTGAAAACTTGGAGCATGCGCTTGTGGGGCAGCGGGTAATATAAAAATCAGCTGAAAATATCAAGACACAGACTAAAGGAAAAAAAACTATAACCTGCCTTATGTATTACATTTGCACAACACCACAATCTATCGATGACATTGGTTAGCTATTGTACTTTAGATAATAAGGTTAATTATTTTTTTTAAATATTTATTAGGTTATTCTTTAAAACAAAGACTAAATGTAACACAAAGATATGTTTTATAATTTCTTTACCGACTATTTTAATATAAATTAGTACTTTATACGCGATAGCGTAACAAACAAACGGACAGACACACAATTCTAAAAATGTAAATTTTTAGAATTAAAATTAAAATTATGAAATTTATTTATTTACTTATTTTCAGTCCCCATTACTTTTATTAAAAAGATATAAAATGTACAGACATCTGCAATTTACATTTTTATTATATGTATTGATTCTGAATTTTCTCTGCAAATATATAATAACCTTGTAAATAACCCTGTAAAACCTTATTTGCTTTGAACATGTTCCATTATTATTGCATGTAAGTATTTGATAATTATTAATTGCATATACTGGATGATCTTTTTATCGTCTCGAAAAAAAGAGTGTAACAGGTGAACGGAATAGAGCCTACGGTTCTGATGTTTGGAAATATTTTTTTTTACTTTACATTAACATATTTTGAAATCGATCTATCAATAAATACTACTATAATATATATTTTAAACACTATTAATGAAAGGAATATATATATATATATATATATATATATATATATATATATATATATATATATATTATATACATTTTCCATATATATATTTTACATATGATTTCTTATAGTATATTCCATTTAGTTATTTATAATCTCGGAAACAGTTATTACACAGCCCGAGTGATTACTACTTTTCGAGCCTGTAATCTTGTTCTTCTTCGGTGCTGTCATCTATATTCTCGTTTTTTCAAGCCATCAAATTCTCAGACGTTGAAATAAGCTTTTTCACAGGATTACACTTACCATTGCTAATATTGTGTATACAATTTCTTTACGTGGAATTGCATTGTCTCGTTTCATGACGAGTGAGGCTGACACTTCTGCCGCGCCACCTAGGGAAGGGGAAATATCCGTTAGAAATGAACGCGTTCAACACGGCTAAGAACGAGAGTAATGTTTCGCTTCGTTAATAACTTACTGGGAATGCTGTTTCACTTCCGGAAAATCAAAATAGTGGTACATTCTTGAAATGTTCTCACACGAGAAAATTAACCACCTCGATCGACCCGCACAACTATTTCTGTGGCGAGATGTAGAGCGCTCCACCAACGCGCTCATCATTATACTGCGTTATAACGCGTGTATACGTTACAGGCAAAAAAAAAGCATACAAACTTATAAACTACGCATCCGCAAACCCTAGACCCACCCCAAAAAAAAAAAAAAAAAGCGGGTATCGAGAAACGCCACACGAGGCAGACATTAAACGCTTAAACAACTGGCACGAAAGCCAAAGAAGCAACACATGATGACCCAGAAAGTACGGTAGGTTTGTTGTGGATGGTCGAGGAGTACGCATTAACATTTAACACGTCCATGAACAGGTTGCGAAGGTGCTCCATCGTCTACCGACCAACCAGAGGCGTTGAATGCAGTTATGTCAGTATTTGACCCACTGGGATTGCTCAGCTGCCTCACCATCACAGCGAAGATTCTGCTGCAAGACTTGTGGCTGGTAAAATAGGTTGAATGAGATGACGAGAGATTTTATGTTCTATGAGGGGAGTGGACCGGAACTTCACGTATTTAACGATGTGAGTGAATGAGCGTATGCATCCGCGGCATATTGCTGTATACGTTATTGTGACGGTACGGTCAGCGTCACGTTAGCAGCTGCCAAGGCAAAGGTTGCTTGGATTAAAAGGTGGAGTATTCCGCGAGTAGAGTTGCAAGCGAATTTGATAGGAGCGCGACCAGCGGAGCTTATCCAGAACGAGCACGGAGTGAGAGCCGATAGAATAACACATTATACGAACTCTTGTATAGCGCTACAATGAATAAAGAATGATATAGTGCGTTACAGTTCTTGCATTGGTCATAAACTTGAGGATATAGTGCAGAAGACTTCACCCAAGCTATGGATATGGTTGAAAACTGCACAGAAAAAGCGACGCGCATGAATGCGATGAACGATGCGAAGCGAGAAGATGATCAATGGTTTCAAATTCAATTTCAAATTTATTTAATTGCCATAAATAGGGTAAGTGTTAGGTTTTTACAATAAAAATAAGTTGCTTAAAGACCTATTTAGCCATGAGATACGGCATGCAAACTTTTTTTTAAATTACCAAATAATATAGGTGGTAGTCGATTCTAATATGTCAAGTATTTAAATGTAAGTTATATAATTCAAAATATCATAATTTACTATATCAGTATCATAATCAAAATTTAAATACGTTCAATCAAAAATAAAGGTCTGATAAAATAGTGATACGCAGTGATACACAGCAATTACGTCTATCATATGTCAACATGCATATCGTCACTGGAAAGGAGAAAATGCTAAAGTGCCAGTTGGGCCAAAATGAGTTAATTATATTGTTGGATTGCTTTTTTTATGCGTCGATCTGTGTAGGTTTCAAGTAAATCAGAGCAAGTTTTTGGCGTTTTAGCATTTGTAAAAATTGAGGGATGTTCCGGATTCCAAGATCTAAAGCGACGATTTTCCCTTGTTTTTGAAAAAGACGTAGCTTTAGAAACACGTTTTCAGTAGAGACCCTTTAGAACGTTATTCCTTACTACATTCTCTTCACAATAGCAACATAAGTATTTTTTCTTTTCTTAATTTGAATGACATTGTTACATTAGCAATATTAAATTTTAGAATTGTATTATTTCATATTCTGTTAGCTATTATTAATTACTGTTGTTGTTGGGCTGAAAAGTTCGTATCTTTTTATAGAAAAACACATTTTTTTGTCAAAATTCGATTTTATTATTCAACATAGTTGCCATCGAGGGCGATACACCGATTATAGCGATCTTCCAACTTTTCAATACCATTTTTGTAGTACGATTTGTGTTTAGCCTCAAAATAGGCCTCTGTTTCGGCGATTACTTCCTCATCGGCTTTAAATTTCTTTCCAGCGAGCATTGTCTTGAGATCTGAGAACAGGAAAAAGTCGCTGGGGGCCAAATCTGGAGAATACGGTGGATGCGGAAGCAATTCGAAGCCCAATTCATGCAATTTTGCCATCGTTTTCAGCGATTTGTGACACGGTGCATTGTCTTGATGAAACAACACTTTCTTCTTCTTCAAATGGGGCCGTTTTTTCGCGATTTCGTCCTTCAACCGCTCCAAAAAGGCTATATAATAGTCGCTGTTGATAGTTTTTCCCTTTCCAAGATAGTCGATGAAAATTATTCCATGTGCATCCCAAAATACGGACGCCATAACCTTACCGGCCGACTGTTGAGTTTTTCCACGCTTTGGATTCGGTTCATCGCGTGCAGTCCATTCAGATGACCGCCGATTGGACTCCGGAGTGTAGTGGTGGATCTATGTTTCATCGATTGTCACATATCGATGCAAAAATTCACTTCTATTGCGGTTGAACAGCTCCAAACATTGCTCTGAAGCATCGACACGTTCTTGCTTTTGGTCGATTGTGAGCTCGCGCGGCACCCACTTTGCACATAGCTTTCGCATACCCAAATATTCATGAACGATATGTCCAACACGTTCCTTTGATATCTTTAGAGTGCCAGCTATACAAATCAACCTCAATTTACGATCTTCCAAAATCTTTTGGATTTTTTTTATGTTTTCGTCCGTAACAGCCTCTTTTGGACGTCCACTGCGTTCATCGTCTTCGGTGCTCATATGGCCTGTGCAGAATTTGGCAAACCACTTACGAATGGTTGCTTCGCCCGGCGCAGAGTCCGGATAATACTCATCAAGCCACTTTTTGGTATCAGCAGCACTTTTTTTCATCAAAAAATAGTGTTTCATTAAAACACGAAATTCCTTTTTTATCCATTTTTTTTTCAAAATTACAAAAGTTGCTTCACTCAAAATGCTGTATCTCACAAACTAATAATCAGACAGCTGTCAAATTTATACACGTTTCTTTTGAAGGTTGGTACTACCTAAAAATGATATGGATTTTATTCTCGTGGCGCCATCTCATAGAGACGATACGAACTTTTCAGCCCAACCAATAACTGTTTGGTGCTTAAGAAAAACTGTTAGCATAAGATTTAAGTATGGTTGGCGCTGTAGCAATTTTTGCTAAATATATTTTTTTTAAATTTCATTCTGTTAGAGAAAATAAAGTTGTGACAACTAAGTAATAACATTTCTATTAGAATAAGGAAGGCATTTTCCTATTCTAAGGTATAAATCGTTTTATCGATATGCTATGTTTTAAACTGATGACCACTGTAGTATGTTAGTACTATTATCTATTGGGAGACTGTAGTGTAAATATCGGTTAGGCACATAATATTTATAATATGCGTGTGATTGTAAGTAAACTTAGCGCACTCGCGTCCTGTCGGAACATATCGTTTCTTATTTCGCGCGCGCCCGCGGTTGTAGGTAATCACCTAACTTCAGTAGTATTAGTTAGTCTGCGCTAGTGACGGTGTTCGCAAAGAAATTTATAGGTACTGTTTATGTTTATTGTGACGTGTAAGTAAGTGCGTTAAGTGTTGTTGTTGGGATCTTGATTTTGGAATATAAAAAGATATGTTAATACTTTTTTATATTATTGTAGTGTTAAGCAAAAGTATTGTACAGTTAAGATTGTTTGGTTATGTTTGGTTAGAGTGATGAGTAGTTTTGACATAGTTGGTGCCTAAGTTATAGATTAACGAAAATATTTAATTGAGACTGTTCACATGAATAAGGTATAACACCAGTGAAATTACCGACTTAGTCTTCTGGTGACAAGCTTAACAGTGACATGCAATACTGTTTAGAAAGTCTACTGTAATGGGAGGGTGGGTTCTTTATAATAATTGCATTTTACCTTACTTATCGTGGGTTACATCATAACTTAATTGAAATACAGTAACGGTTCATGTCTTTTGTTGTAGGTCATGGAAAGCAAACGCAAAAATTACATTAAACAGTACGTATGCCAATCTCAGCAACAGGATACCGGTAGAAAACGGGGACAACCAGAAAATACTGATATTGTAACAAAGCTACGGCGAGCAAATACAGCGGATTATAAAGCTATACAGGGTAATACTTACATGTCTGTCTCAGCAGAAAACACCTCGACTCATAAACTCCAGCAACTTACCGATGATGACGACGCCTCCCACGCCCCAAGCGCTTCGCACACCTCCACTCCTGGTCTCCTGAAATCTAGTTATAGCAACGACGCTTCCCACGCGATGCGTTCCCTTACCAATGATAGCTCCTTCGCGACGAGAGCTTCGCATAACCTCGGCTTCTGCACTCCTTCTATCTACTGCAGATAACCACGCTTCCCACGCAATGAGCGCTTCGCACACCCCGAATCATGATCTAAAATCTACATGTTATGATAACGCCGCCTCCCACCAGATGAATGCACAGTACACCCCAGATCCTGAACTTCTAGATTCAGCCTCCACAACGAGTATCTCTCATGCTATGTATAATAAAGTTTCTTCGGCTTCTCAGTTACGTTCTATGTCTCGAGAAGAGGAGATTGAACTTTGTGTACAACAAATTATATCTGATGACAGTTGCAAAATCACGATTGAATTGGAAGAACAAACAGTTAATCAATTTGAAAAAGAAAAAAGCAAGAACTTTGAGAATATTGTTGACAAGGAAATGCCTGGAACTAGTAAAGGAAAACTTGAAAGGATGAAGGTCAAACCTGGATATATAAAAGAGAAACCTGAAAAAAAAAATTAAAAGATTAATTCTTGAACATGTTGACTTCATTTCTGACGAAGAAGCATTTACACTGACTTCTTCTTCATGGGAAGGATCAGACAATACGGAGTCAGATATATCCAATAATGATAGAAGAGAAAAAAAAACAGAAGAAATATTTTTCTTCTGTAAACAGTAAAAGACAATGTAAGGAGTCAAAAAAACGTAGCAGAAAAATAAACAAGAAGAAAACTGACCACTTAGCTTCGAACAAAGATGAATCTGACTCAGAGCAACAGAAAAGGACTGAATAAAACAATAGAGAAAATGAATCTTATGCAGATTTTAGAAAAAGAACCAAACGAATTAATAAAGATAAAGAAATATCTAATTTAAGGAAAGCTGAGAAAGAGTATGTCTCAAAAACTGGAAGAGTAGTTGAGGCAAAATCTATGCAAGCAAATCCTTGCAATCCAGTAAATTGTATTAATAAATGTTACGATATATCTGAAGATAGATAAAGTATTTTTGATCATAATTGGTCATTAAGCGCGGAAAGAAAGCGTGACTGGATTGTAAGTCATGCTAAAAAAGAAATTGATAAACGAAGAAGAACCAAACATATAGAGAGCCGAAGGCAATTTACATAATATACATATTTCATTAACCAAGGAGAAGGCCAAAGACCTGTTTGTTTGAGATTCCTTATAAATACCTTAAATATTGGTCAAAGATTTCTACATCAAGTTATCAGTTCTTCAGTTGAAGGGTGTTCTAAAACAGAGAATAGAGGTAGAGGAGTTCCTGCAATCAAAACGCCCCCGGCCTTGTTGCAATCCGTGAGAGACTACATTAATGGTTTACCAGCAGTTCCCTCACACTACTGCAGGAAAAACTCAAAAAAAAATGTTATTTGCCGCAAGAATATAGAAGCCTTTCCAATTTATATAAAATTTGTAAACAAAAGAACATGAATGAAGGGGAGAATTTTGTAGGCGAAAAAGTTTTTAAAAACATATTTCCGACAGAATTTAACATTTCTTTCCATGTGCCCCGAAAAGACAAATGTGTAAAATGTATTAAATACGAAAATAGCCCCGGAGAATATCAAGAAGAAAAAAGAAACATATGTCAGATAAAGAAGAAATATATTCGAGATTTCAAACACATCAAGACCTTCGCAAACACGATAGTAGTATACTCTGTACTACGTTCGATCTCCAAAAGGTGCTGAATATTATTTTATTACAGCAGAAAGATCGCTACATATAATTTGACATTTTACGAGTCCGTCACACAAGAAGGGTTCTGTTTCTTGTGGAATGAAGTCGAAGGCAAACGTAGTGCGAATGAAATTTGTACCATTCTAGTTAAATACATTGAAAAGGTGGACAAACGTGGGTCTATAAAACATTTATTTTTATATTGCAATTCCTGCCCAGGGCAAAACAAAAATAAAATTGTTCTGGCCTGCATCCATAAATCTTTGCAAAAATGCAAGAATATATCAATCATTCAAATGAATTACCTTCTACCGGGACACACATATATGCCTGTGGATTCCATGCACTCAGTCATTGAGAAAAGTGTGACAAACAACATTGTATAGGCACCGTCTCAGTGGCCAACCATATGTGCTCTAGCAAGAAAAGTTCCTAAGCCATACGAAGTTGAAGTTCTATCTCACAAAAATTTTGAGGGCTGGGATACAATTTTAGACAGATACTTCAAAGGCAATCTTGCAGGTAAAATAAGCAGGATTCGCACTGCTACACTCAAGAAAGCTGATCCGCACCATATCGAAGTTAAATATTCCATGAAAGTTGAAGCTAAATCTGAAAAGATCGAGATTATAGGCAAAGGTGAATTAATTCCAAAGTTAAATTACAAATCGAAATTGCCTATTTCAAAGAAAAAATATTCCGATTTGGAAAAATTATGTAACAATAAAACTATACCAGCAATGTATGTTGCAGAATATAAGTCTTTACCTCATGCAGTAAATGTTCAAGATTTTTTGGCAGATACAGACATTGAAGACATTCAAGACTGATAGATTTAAGTTAGACTTTAAAACGCTGATCTCAAAAGTACCAAATTAGATTTACTTATTGCTATTTGTTTATGTTTCTTTTTGTTCTAAGTTTTTGTGATTCAAGATGATAAAAACTCTTTGGAATATGTCTAGAATTGATAATACTGAAGTTTTATTTTTACATTCGTTTTGTTGATTACTTAACATTTAAGTATGTTTAATATTAAGTTTTTTGTTGGTTATGGACCTACTTGATGTTTTTCAAAAATTATGGTAAGACTACTTATTAGCAAGTTTGGAAAAATATTAAAAATAAATAAATAAAACTGATTGATTTTTAAATGCAATGGTTTTTATTTCTAATGCAAATTCCGACAACAGATTTGGTACATTCTTAGAATGTAGGTTTTCAGTTTAGTCCATTGAAGACATTGAGTTTTATATTGACAAATTCTTACTGCAGATCAATTACTTAGTATCTACACAATAATATTATTATATTTAGTTGAATTTTCACATAATGAGCCTATTAAGCAATTATTTCGAACAAATTCTTAAAACCCATCCGCAGATAAGTAGTATGATCGAGTAAAGTAACGGTCAATAATTTACCTTTAGTCATTTTTGCTTGCATTTATTCAGTTAAGTTAGCGCACGTAAGCAATTTTGGTTGCATAGCCTCTATACTGTAGCATGTTACCATCATAAGCAATCGTTATCAATTTTTCTTTACTAGATCTATACGGTCTTAGTTACTTAAGCATTTTTCGTTTCCAAGAGAAGTGGCTTTTACCATTTATAAGCAATTTTCGAATAGTTCGATTCATACTTTTGAGGTAGATTCGCAGATTTTCCCTGACTAATATTTTCCTTTTATCCAACACACTTTTGCTAAAGCGACTTCTATTTCAAGAAATAAAGATAAATTTCATAAACACTTTTGTACGTGCTGGTACAATAGAGTTTTAGTAATGTTATATTTTTAGATTAATAAGATCGGATAATAATTAAAAAAGATATGAATTAAAATAAAAAATAAAAAACTTTAAACCTCATTTTCCAAAAGTACCATTTTGGCGCTTTAGCATTTTCTCCTTTCCAGTGACGATATTATTATCATTTTGAAAATCCTTAACACTATAATAACATTTTTTTATTAGCCATTCACGTAACTTTTTGGTTATGAGAATCATAGGACCATGTTTGAACTGCTTTGGAATTTTGTTAAATATTTTTACACACATACATTAACAACCTTTCTGATAGACAGAAGTTTTTGGTTTATGGTCTAAGACGAGCCGTTTACTATCTCTAGTGTTTCGTGGATATATATCACAAGCTGACTTAAATAACTCTGCATGTTGTTTGACAAATTTATATATTTCTAATATGTACATGCCAGGGACTGTTAATATACAGCTTAATAAATAGGGGATTGCATGTGTCAAATGGACCTTTACCGCATATAGCACGTATACATTTTTAGTGCGATGAGAACTCTATCTACTTCATCGCTGTTGCCCCACAGAACTAGACCATAATTAATATTGGACGCGACGTAACCATAATAAGCAGACATAGTTACGCTAAGAGTTGTTATCTTAGTTAAACGCCTTAAGACGAAAGCAAACCTATTAATTTTATTACAAACTCACACCCAAAAATGAGACCATGGTAGTCCTTTCAATAGGTATGTTTTTGTGCAGCACATTAAGATTATTTGCTGCTCGTCCTTTTATGTTAAAATTTATGAAATTTGTCTTATTCAGATTTACTTTTAGATTAATTAATTTAAGATAATGCACAATATTAATAATTGTGATTGTCATTATAATTTGATTTAACAATAATGGAGATATCAGCTGCAAACATTATGCATTGGTGTTTAGTCGCTCTTGGTAAGTCATTTATATATAATGAAAACAATATAGGACTCAGAACGCTACCCTGTGGTACTACCGTGATACTCCAAACTTATTTTCTAGCCCTGCATTCTTATACAAAGAATAAAAGGAATTTCCCAGCCTTCAGAGGAAAAAGCAAAAGAGGAAATGAGGAAGAAATCGTGGCGCACTACAGAGAAGTCAAGGACGCACCACACATGCCAGACATCACAAGATTCTCGTCATACTAGAAACTAATAAGCGCGAGGTTATTCAGTTCGTCATAATGCGAAAACGAGCTTGAGAACTGAACGTGGGACATACTCAGAAGACAGAGCAGTTATTGATAGACGGAAGTCAGCACTAAAGTTCTACTTAAGATATCGCACGGCTCTGTCAAGGAAGAACCTGGTCAATTGGAGTATGGAGAGTGGCATCATATAGGAGAGGGGGAAGATAAACGCAACCATCGTGGACGACCAGATAAAGCGACCAGTCATCCTAGATGATCGACACCCGTTTTCGATACTGCTCATCAAGAAGGCACATCAGGACGCAAGCCATGCAATCAGATAGAGGGTGGTCAACGACTTAAGAATGATATGTCAGACTGCAACCATCGGTCAGAGAAGTGGATAGAAGGTGCATGCGATGCAGATTGAGAAAAGTGGCACCACGACCTGTAGTCATAGGAGACCTACCAACCGAGAGGTTCGGAGCGTTCGTGCGACGGTTTACGTACACCAGGTTAGATTATTTCGGGCCATGTCGGTAACTGTATGGCAATGGCACGAGAAGAGATGGGTGACAATATTTACGTACTTAACAAACAATAACTCCACTGTTAATCTAATTTTAGTGTTTATGGAATTATTATGTTCTAAAAATGTAGTTACTTTGTCTGATGGTAGAATTATGAAAGTATCGTAAGCGGTACGCTTGTAGAACGTTGAAGTTACAGTACAGTAAGGAGAGCTTTCTCCTCAAAGTCCTACATGAGTGTATTTGTGACAATGGGAGATACCGGTGAGCGCATCGCAACTCCATCTATGCCAGATGTAAGGTATTTCTGGGTAAAAGTAGTTTTACTCAATGTGTAGTGTTCACAGAAATGTAAATAAATCATAGTTATTTCCTTTTTTTAAAGTCCATTGTCAGAATTTCAAATCGACGGCGGATGGTATTTTTGGAATGGCTTATGTCTAAGAGGTGAATTCAGAAGTGCATTTATAAATCATACATCTGGATAAGCCAATATTTTTTGACATTTAAGAAATCGTACTGCCTTGATAGTATAGCGGTCGTAAGCGCGATTGATGATCATAAAGTCCCAGATCCGAATTAGTGGTAAGTTAAAAACTAAGTTATTGGGTTTTTCTGTTAGGAAATTTTCAATGGCTGATAGCAGTGTTTCACCACCGTGCTGCGGAAATCATGTAAACCCGTTGATCCTGCTTCTATTTCTCTCCGGTCGGTCGGATTGCCGCCTTATTACACTATAAGTGATAGGGGCTAGAGACTGCACCTGAACTTGCGCACTCATTCTTGTACAAAATTATTAATCTTCGAAAATTGCTAGTATCCATTGAGGCTGATGTTCGTGACCAAAATTCCACCTGAGATGTGTGTGGTCTGGCGTTATCTTGATGAAAGACCACTCCTTTTCTATTGATCGATTTCGACCGTTTTTTCTCAATTTCTTGCTTGAGTTTCAATTCATCAGTAATTATTGACAGCTCATAATAAACGATGCCCTTCCAATTCTACCATACACACAGCATCACCATATTGCGTGTAAATTTGGGTTTTGCTACAGCCCGTGGAGCTTGACTACCTTTTGACAATGATCTTTTTTGCATGTTCTTGTTGAAGACGATCTACTTTTCATCACCAGTGATCAATCTCTTCAAAAATAGTTACATTATGTTTCAATAGAGAATCGCCAATGAGTACACGATTCTTTAGGTTTCTATCAGTGAGCTCTTGTGATATCCATACAAATATTTTGTATAGCCCAGACCTTTATAATAAGTCAAAACTGTTTTTAGGTCAATCCTGAATTCCTCGGCTATTTCGTAACTACTAATATGCCTATCTTGCAAAAATTATTTCAAAAATGGCATCGATTTTATCTGTGTGAGAGCAACCAGCGCGAGCCAAATATTTAAATAGTTAGATGCGCCTTTACTTTTACATCAAAATTCCTAGACTGAAGACGTTTGAACCAACTTTGTGCTATTCTTACTGACATTGGGTTAGGTCCATAAACGTCTCAAACTTTGTTCGCCATTTCAATCGCACTTTTTCTTTTTTTGTAATAAAAATTTAGAATGTATGGAATTTCTTGGTTACATTCACTCATTTTAGTGTACAGGAAATCAGCAATACGGTGTTGTACCTGTCAAAAGTTGTAGACAATCGGCAACGAGGTTGGAGTAAGCACATACAACCGTTTTTGTTGTCATGTCGAGTACTGTTCACGAAAGTACATCAGTGACACCAGCTTTCGTAAACTTTGGAAGAGAATTACGACACTTGCAGACCTGATCACCGGAATACCACCTGATGCCCCACGCAGTATAACCGATTATGCAAATGACTTGCAAAAAAAAATGAATGACATTTATGAGCACGTCAGACAATCGGGCTAGCAATTGTCTGAAAAGATGAAAACCCGATATGACCGCAAAACGAACAACAAAGGGTTCGACAGAGGTTCCTGTGTAGTTGCACAATCCAGTCCACAGCAAAGGGAAATATACTAAGCTTCAAGCTAAATGGGGTGGCCCATACTGGATTGTGACAAGGATCAATGACGTAACCTACCGGATACAAAAAGATGCTAGAGGTACTCCTAAGATAGTCTATGCTCTATGTGGATCGACTTTCGCGTTTTTATAGGGCCAATAATGCTCGGGACGAGCATGTCTTTGGAGGATGTGTTGCGCGTCATAATTGATGCATGGTACATGAAGGGCTATTATTAGCGCCATCTAGTATCAAGTAGCAGAAATAGGAGCGTCAAGATCTTTCTAGAACTCTCCCACTAGCGACATCTAGTGTCGAGTGGCGTTGGCTTTCTGGAGGATTCTTTCCTAGAACATTCTAGATTTTTTCGGTGGAAAAGGATCCTATATAAAGTCGGTAAGGAGCGTGACCGGGACAGTATTGAATTGGCGACACAAGCGTTTTTATTGTCATGAACCCTAAGATCCATACTGTATAACATTACGTTATACAGTACGGGAAGAGATAAATGATATAACTAGTGAGTACCTATTCACTTACTGCAATGTTTTTGTTATCAACTTGATCGAGGCGCGTAGATTTTGGTATTTCTCTCCTAAGTTATATTAACATAAGAAACATGATGTTGCATTGCGGAAATAACACATTCTATTCTACATAATCATGTATTCCATTATAAATCATAAATTTCCACTGAATTACTATCTAAACGTATTCTTTGTAGCGTGGATATATGGGCTTATGAACAAGAGACTATACTAGTAAATCATTGTAAAACTTAGTCTCAAAATCAGAAAACACGACATAAATTTGTACTCGTGGGTCCACTAAGAAGTGACAAGAGTTTTTGACACCACATACGTACGTTGTATACGTAGCGCAACGGGGGAACATTGCATCGCATACTTTGCGTACGTGATATCATTCTTTTTCTCCTCTTAGAGATTTACTTAAAGGAAAATGTGCCTATAAATGTCACGACTGATAAAAAAGTTGTCATTATACAGTTATTATTTAGATATACACGTTAGTACGAAGTTAGTGGAAATTACACATACACATTAATGGAAAATGAAATTGCTTCAATACTACGTGACCTCTCAAAAGCTTTAAATCGCTTTTAAATTTTGTATGTAACATTAAGAGATTTAAATTTATAACATTTGGCTACATAGAATAATTTTATAATGTAAAAAGTCGTCAAGAGAGCCACAAGTTGAATTATTTTTAAAGTGCTAATTAAACATTGAAAATAAGCACGATTCTAAGTCATTAAGTTCTGACAATTATGTAAATTACTTGGGTTTTCCGCGATACAATTTTATTTCCCTATTATATATTAACATCAATTGTAAAACAACATGGTTTTAGATTAATTAAAGTGTTACAGAGGATTTATACTGATTGTGGTCAAATTTTTATGTTAAGTATTTGTATGATTTTTAAAGTTACAGTATTTCTTGCGCTACATTTTGATGGAAAGAGCCTCATGGATTCTATATCAGTTAAGCTAATAATACATTAAAAACTATTAAAATAAAAAATATTTAAATTTCTTGCTCGAACCATCTCTAATAAATAAAAATAATGCATAATGTTAAACAGTGTCGAAATAAAAAAAGAACTATATTTATTGATTCTTTTTTTAGCCCATCCAGGCAGCTGCTAGACGTGGGTTTTTCCTTTCGTATGAAGGAAAGTTGTCACTCACTTCTGCAAGAGTTTTGAACAAAAAGAACTCAAACATACAGGTTTCCTCACGATGTTTTCTTTCTTATCTGATTAAATGGTAAATTTACTTAATATAGCAATTAACAAATTCATAGAACCGCGTCTGGTTCTTGTAGGTACTTTGATATTACAACGAGCGTTTAACCACTGAACTACCGTGGCTCCTTATGATCGTATGAAGGATAACCATAATCGCCACGCTTGGCAGCCGGTTTGGCGATAACAGTAACAAATGTTTCGTACCTTTGAAGCTGTTGCTTATCGTAGATCTTGATGTATATATATATCATCTATACATGTAAATAAAATAGAAGTGTCCGTCAATAATATCGAAATAACAGTAAGACGTGAATCATCATTTTTAAAATCATTTTCTGTCTGTGTGTCCGGGGTATTCTTTGGAATATCTGACATTCTTGTAATGAAACTGAAGATACAGATATAGTGCAATTTCAGGAGTAATATAAGCTTAATATATTTTATTCGAAAAACTTGGAGTTTTTATTGAAAAAACGTAAATTGATAAAGTAAATAATCTTTGACTATCTTAGATTTAAATTAATTGCAAAATAAATCCTACCCAGGTGAAGCCGGGGCGGCTCCCATGTATACAATAATATCACACGTCGTGATTATAAGTCACATTTATAATTCACACTTTTCTCTCCACAATGGCTCCTGGTGTTGCGTCACAGTGAATGACAACTGATTACCAGCATATTCGGTTGACATTCATACTTAATAATTTACAAATAATCAAACACCAAAAAAGCCATTAAAGCCGTCACGGCCAGACTGGTATTAGCACGTCCTTGTGCTGCTCCGTATCTTTTGGCGTTGAGTTAGTCTGTAATAACAGGAAAATAAAATACTTTCATTTCGTTCGTCTTATTGTAATATGATTAGGTATACTGTCTCTATCTTAGGACATTTAGGAACCCATAGACATATATGCAAGGCGATTACAATTACGTTTGACCGCATTCAAAGTAACACCGGCTAAGGCATCATTCGACTAGCCATAATCTCCTATGATGACTGGGACCAGACAATCTAGCCATCATTTTATATGAACAAACCTAGCTCAGAGAGTAACAACGTCCCTTCGACCAGTCGTTATCTCATATGTCAATATAAATCAAATAACTGACTTTCTACCTGTCATCTCACATGATGACATCTTAGACAGCTTAATAGCATCAATTAATTCTCATAAAACTGACATTACTAACCTTAAAATTCCTAACCTAAAAATTCAGTACGACCGCTGGATACCGATAGTGTGTCATTATCATCATCTGTTGTTCATCAGATCAGACATGATGTCCTCATCATTATTAATTAACAAGGTTACTCTATCACACTGTCATGACCTACTCAGCATATTTGTAAGTCCTATTAGACCCATGATTGTTTTTCAGCTCATACCTATCATTTTCTAATACCTTAGTATCAAAAATGGACCTTTGAATTTTTTGTGAAGTTTTATCTGATTGCATTCGTTGTTTCTTATAAGAACATATTCAACTAAAGAGAATGGCTTCGTGACTGTCTTGTCTCGATTGAACCGTTCTACTTCTACTGAAGCTGCTTTCACAATGTTATTAGAGTCGTTACGTCTGATAGTATATAGTCTAATGGGGATTCGGGCCCTGAATTAAATGTAATTTTTGTTATACATTACGATTGACCTTTTATATCCCAAGCATTATTTCCAGGTAAATATCCAGTTATTTTAAATCGCGTACTCCTTAGAGCTATCTACACATCTATGAGTTCATCTCGCCAAGTTTTGTTTGGGTCGTTCTCAATTATGGTGAGAATGACAATGACGTTGTCTACAAAATTCTTGAAACATGGCTATTATATAGCATCTCCCTTTCTCAGCAATAACGCACTTAGGTGCTTCAAAAAGGCACGGTTATAGCTTTAATAGTACTTGCTGAATCTAACGACGGTATATTCAAGGAGAACATATTTGGAGAAAGAATCCATAATTACCGATGAATATTTTTTGCGATCGCTTTTTCCACTGAGTTTACCCATAATATTAATGTCTATGGTATGCCAAGGAGTGGAAACTTTAGGAACTGGATGAAATCTTATCGGTTAGCACGTGCCGGACCCTTTGAAGCTTTGCACACTTCACAATAATCTACTAATTTCCGCACTAGCTTTTACATTAATTTGTCGGAACCAATACTCCTCGTATAGTTTGTCTAGCGTCTTTTCAGCGAGGAGGTGCTTAATTTATATATAAATGTGGTTGATTAAAGTCCAAACGAGGGAGCGTGGTACAACGGTGAGCCAATAGCTACTTTGTTAAGCTCAATTATCCTATAAATTATTCCTTTTCGAACATCACAGGTATGGGCAAAGGTACATGAAACCAACTTCCAGTTTTTTTTAAGAGCAATTTATGACTTACGGTGTCAAACGCCTTTTTTAAATCGATGAATACTCCTAGTACGATGTTTTTCTTATCAATGTTATGTTTGATTTTAGTTACTAGATCAATTGTAGCTATGAGTGTATTACTTTTAGAAAGAAGTCCGTACTGTCTCTCAAAAAATAAATCTATAGAATCTAAATAGTTTTGTAGCCGTGTATGTAAGACTTTTTCGAGAATGTTTGATAAAATTTACTTAATTTTTATTTCCAACGTTTCGGGTGCTTTATAGCACCCATGATCACGGGGGACTGAGGTAATTAACGTCCTGATGTCAAACTTAACCCGGAGTACCTTCAGCTTTCAATTACTACTATTTTTTCGATTTACGCAGCATGAGCTTACTGCCTCCTGAGGATTTGGCAGTGGTATACTTGTGTTTAGTTTTAATTTCATTAATTTCAGGATTGTTCTTACCTCTTTATCGAAATTAGGTTGTTTTTTAATTATAATAACCTCACGATGATATTCTTGGTAAGAATCGGTGTTATTTCGCGAGAATTTATGTTCCATCAAATCGAATATAACGGGAATCGTCTAACACAAACTGCAGACTTCCCGAAACTTTTGTGTTTCATGTCAGCTATATGTTATTCTTTTACACAGGTTGTTAAGACCATTTTCACTATCTAGCTTGTAAACACTTGCATATTTTAATTATCACTTTAGTTATTAACAGCACTCTGTCTTTCTTTCTTTGTTTGTTTAAGTATTAAAAACGACGAATTCGTTAATAACTTTAAAAGATATAAGTTTTGCAGACAAGCTTTGTTTTTTATTTACGGATTGTAAGTAATTAAAACCTTGATTTCATTACGTATATTCAATCTTACCATTGTTTTTGTTACAAAAATATTTTTTGTTCTCATAAAAACAGTCGTTCGCGTTTATTTGCTGTTTAATACTAAGTCTCCCAGTCGGCCTCACTGGCGTTTGGTTTCTACTTTATTACAAAAATCACTAATTATTTTGGGGTTTCAAGAAGTGTGAAATTGTGTATTAGTAAAATGTATTTATGTTTTAAAGTTTACATTTGCCTTTTGGTATTTTTAAGTTTAAATTTAGCTCATAGTGCTCTATTGAATAAAGATCTTTATAGATTGGATATAATTCACTATAATGATTTTCACGATAGGTAAGAGAGAATATTATTTTATTTACTGCTAATATCTGTTTAAAGAATAATTTGAAAAAATGCAATTCATTCCACGAAGGCATGTAATCTGTTAGTACCTATATATTAGAAAACGAATAGAATTAAACCATACAAAATTAATAATGACTTATTTATTCAAAAGAATCTTATATGATTTGATACAAAGAACAGGCTTTCGCCGTTTTCAAGATATTAAATTTTGAAAGTGTTTTTAATTACGTGAAATTCACGATTTATATAAAATTAAAAAACACTCAGTTAAAGTTAGTTACAGCCTATACTCGTATACTTCCCACTTTTGGGCACAGGCCTCCTCCCATTTTTGAGAGGGTTTTAGGCTAAAAAATGACCATGTTCTAAATTTCATTTATCACATGCACCCTTTTTCCCCCTATAGTCTATTATCAATCACAATAAATTTCTGATAGAAAATAAAAACAAAATAATACACAAATGTGATCAACGGAAAATTGTTTATTAATAATTGAATCTTAAAGTAAGTAGCGACTATACCTTTCTCTCCATTTAATCATCGGTGATGGTCACCAGACTATTGTTATTCTTCCACTCCTTTGTTTTCGACACACCACGCATTATAATTAAACTTTTTACATCAATATTTCTAATGTGTACAGCAAAGGAATGGAATAGTTTGCCTGCAAGTTCTTAAGGCAAGAGTGAATAGGCTTTTAATAAGCAAGTCAATAACTCTTCGTTAACTGTCAGTCGGTTAACTATCTTTGGCTGCATCACCAGTTACCATCAAATGGGATAGAAGTCAAGCACTGTCTTATAACAGTTAATAAAAAACATCAATTTCAAAATAAGATTAATTAAGTAATATGTTGCATGGAATAAACAAGCAAAAACATAATTGAATTGCAAATTAGTAGTTCTTTAGTCTAATATACCATAATTAACCTATATTTCTTTACATCATTCGGCGTTAATATGTATTGTATTACAATATTATATAAAGCAGATATTTTAGACAGTTCTTATTTGCGGTATTACATTGTTGTAATTATTATTCAGGGATGTTCCACGCGAAGACATAACAATTCCAGGATAAATTTCGAAGGTAACAGATTAGGTTCAAAACTGGTAGAGAATAAAATCAGCTAACCTCGACTCCTCGTGGTACTTGTCTGTTCTGTCCTTTTTTTGAGCAAGTAGCTATGCAGGTCCACTGCGATCATAGTCCAGTATCACTGCGATCTAATTAATGTATTGTGATCGCATAAATGACATTGCCTAGCTATGAGCGATTTCACTTGTTCTGGGCTAAGTACATAGTTTCCCAGAAAAGTATTACATTTGCGCATTTAGGGTGTACAATCAGTTAGGGTATGCAGAGGTATTTCTTTCATTAAGGAACAAAATTGGCACATCCTTGAGTTGCTTATTATCAGGATGGGCATGTGCCTTTTTAGAAAACAGTGTCCAGTCAGTGCTCTTGTCACAATACGCACTTTATTCTTACTTAATCTCAGGGCTTATGAAGCGAATCTACGATTATAAAAGTTTATTATTATATTGGTTAAGCCATAAAGTTTAAGAATGTTTTAAGCCACCAGGCTTAAATACACCAGTATCAGGTGAGATCTTAAGTGATTTATTGTGATAAAGAGTTGCAAGGGTCAAATGGGCCAGGCCAAATCGTGTACTCCTTGAGCCCTCCTGTACGAGTATGGTGGCAAATTCATTGCCTACAATACCCGCATGTCCCAAAACCCATCTCAAAACGACCCTGTTTGTACCCTAGGGTGGTTAAACGGTTCAGCCTCCAACTTCGATGTCACTAACTTTAATCTCAGCACTAGCAGTGCTGCTTGACTAACAGAGTTTATACAGATAATATGGTTGACGTAGTGTTTTTGCAGGTTTATTTACACACGCCGAAGTATAGCGAAAATTTCTGTCTGGAAGATAGAGGTTAATTTCCCCAAATTCATACTAAGTTTGTACTTGGGGCGTTCCCAAGCAAAGAGGGGCCCTTTTAACCCGACCCCTCACAGGTAATCGGTCCATTCAGCCAGTTTTCTCTCGAGAGTAGTTCCACTATATACTTTTTTATTAAAATTGTATATTGGACGCATGATATCTGAGATCATGCATAACGTCAGTGTTTCCTTTATTGAGGCGAGCAAGGATCTCAAACTGTAAGAAAGTAAGCTCAGACAAATCCAATACAAACCCTCGCCTTCTTGTCTAAATACAGATTAATGGTTTTTAAGCATAGAAGTGCAAGTGCACTAAGAGCCGCTAATGGAGATGATCGCATCGTTTCAGTTGCCGTCAAACAGGCAGTCCTTTGTTATTTCGCCTGTTCGCAGTCGTCTTTTGGTTAAACTTATTACACCAACCAGTAGAGGTGTAGGTAAAAATTGTCTTACTATGATATAGTACAGTCATAGGCTCAAACTAGACGACTAGACGCAAGAGCTTTTTCTTCCTAACCATACATATTACACGTACCGAAAGCAATTTCAACCTTGTGACACACGTTACTAAGGTGAGATTTCCACGTTAGGTTTTGATCGATCATTACGCCCAATTACTTCATTTCGGTAGAGAATGTTACTTCTTTACAGCTTCAGTGTATCTAATTTGACCAAATGTCCTTTTTTTGGTAAAGGGTATTTAACATAATGATTTCTTATATTTACGCGAACACTACTTCTTTCGCGAGAATTTATGGTCTATCAAATCTAATGTAATGTTGAGGGCTAGGATATGATCACAAACTGCAGACTTCCCGAAACGTTGATGCTTCATGTCAACTATACGTTCTTTTATTTAAAAGAACATATAGCTGACTAAACTGATATAAACTATGGAGCTCTACGCCAGTTTCCATTAAAAGGTCATTGTAAAGCTCTAAAAGAATTCAAGGCGGAATTCTTCTGTCACCCTGGGAAATGGGTTGACGCTAGTAATTCCAATATTTCTGTTTCACTGCTGGTAAAGATACCATCAGACTTTTTGAGAATTCCGATCTGACTATGTTTAGCTTTCGATAACATTTTGTGCTAGACTTGCACTGCAAGGCAAAGACTCGACTTTCTCGCATAGCTTCCTGCATGATGCTCCCTTAGCTTTCGTTTCGTTTTGTATTGTTATCTGGTATTTTAATCTCTTTCAGCTTAGTGTTCCGCCAAGGAACTTTTTGTGTTGCGGACTTGGTTTCGCCAAGACAACTGCCCTCGAAGACTTCATGGATTCCTACGGTTACAGTCTAGGTCACTAGCTCTAGACTTTCAATCGTTTTGATGCTTTTTTGAACTTTGTTTCCGAATTCCTCCTTAGCCTGTCTCTATCAAGCAACAATTTCATAAGTTGGTGATATTCTAATCACAAACTTAATGAAATTTCAATATGTTAATGCCAGTCTGGATATGTTATTAATAGAAAACTTCTTGCCTAGCTCTCGTTACAAAAGTTGGTTCCCTAAGTTTAGGCTTACCGGGCGATTAGATAATATGAGAAAATTATAAAGTAACTCACCTCTTTTATGGATGTTAAAGTGAAATGGGCGCCAAGTCAGATTTTCACGCTTTATCACCTATAAAGGGCGAGACCAGTGCCTTCGGTTTCAGTCACTATCGCTAACGCCGTCGGGGCGCGGGGCAGGGAGTCGGGGCGTCGGCTGTAGGGCTGGGGGGGATTACAGTTGCGATGGTTCAGGTGGTTCCAGTACCGTCAGAGTCATCCCTGATCTCAAAATTTATCATTTTAAAATCAAAGAAGACTCGGCCACCTGCCACTTGGATAGCCTCCGCCGAAAAGTTTACTAGGAACCCATTCTCCCCATCCCTGCTGTGAAGGATTTTCCAGAACTCTGTAAGAAGCCATTCAGTGTGTGCCCTCAACAACACAGGCGCCTCTTCTTAAGAGTCAGCTTCTCTGCGGGGCAGGTATGTAATACCCAGCTGGGCTTAGGCAGTTTTCCCTCGGGTGTTATAGAGAGCTCTGCTCTGGCCAGGGTTTCAGTTTTCCAACTTCACTCAAAGTCCGGTCCTAACCTTCCTATTTTATATATATATATATATATATATATATATGGGCATTTTACCAGAATCCAACCAAGCTTGTGGATGAAACCCGATTCCAAACTTAAATTCAAATATATAAATAATTATATACCCTAATTTCAGCACCAATTTTTTGAAAATACGAGTAAATAAGACTTCTGCTTTTATTTGACATTATTCCAAATTGAATGTTATTTATGGGCAATAACGTTTTTGCATACCGAAAATGCATTACCACGCATTTCGAATTTAAAACATAAAAAGGTCAGAACGTTTGAGATTTTTTTAAATATATTTTCTTCAACATTGGCCTAAATTACTTATTCTGAACTTTCTGTGCAAATTTGGCTGGTTATTGCAAAATAACCCTGTACATTGGTTAGTAATGAAAAAAAATCTTAATTACTTAAAAAAAATTAACATTATTACTAAATATTCGTGAACACCGTGGTAACTTCACCGCGGTAACTTAAAATACAAGTTCATAACCTTTCTTGACTTATAGCATCACCCTTGCAATCAATGTTCATACCCGTCACTGTTCATACTCACTAAGGCACGTTTTTTTTGCGCCCGAAGCAAATAAGGGCAACTCCCGGTAACGGGGGAGGGAGGCGGAGAATGCTCATAGCATACCACGCAGCCGGCTGCGTGGTTATGTGGAGACTTTTACCCGCTAAACTCCATCTTTTGGGATTGGCTTAACGATCTGACGAGAGATCTTTAAGCCGTAAACGGACGCGACCCTCCTTGGCAGAAATGAGGGCACAGTCTAACGCATAGCTTGCTTATATATTGCTTATATATACTCTTACGTTTTCCGTAAATTTTTGTGTGCGGGCAAACTGGATTCTTTTCCCGCCAACACCAATGAAATTGTGAATTACAATTTCAAATGCTGATTTGCCAAGTGCTCGGCAATGAAGAAAAAATATAGTGAAGAAACCTGCATGTCTGAGAAATAAAATAAAATATTTTAAAGACATAATGTTAAGTCCACTTACACGCATTGCCTAATATCCGTTCATAATAAGAGGAATTCTGAGCAATAGGATTTCGGGCTGTAACTTTAAAGTAATTATTAAATTTGTCGTAATTTCATCGTCAAATACAGTGTTTTAAGCGGAATAAAAAAATGTTATGGTAAAAGGTAGCATTCCCTACCTTTAAGTATATAGTTATTTCAAAGATTGCCTTCAAGGAATATTTCCGAGGAGGTTAATAACCTTTAAAAGTAAACCTTTAATCCATGCAAGGCTGTATGGCTACCTCTACTAACTTTTCGATTTATCAATCTTCAAAAGAGCAGACTACGTGTATCTGAGTAAAAAATTTTTGTGAGAATTTTTTACCTCTATTTTGATTTTTACATTACATTGTATATTTAGGTCTGGTTAACGCTGAAATTTGCAGCAAATTTTGACTACCTTGACCCATGCTAAGCCGCTGTTTAATGATATGGTTTATTATAATCAGCTGTTGTGCATTACTTCTTTTGAAAAGTACGCGAAGTATTGCATGCGACTAACATTGCTATTGCTATTGCTATACTAATTACGATTTTTATTATCTTGAAATATTAACAGAAATATGCTGCCTATCTCTTACTTCATTTGCCTTTGTCGTCTCTTACAACACTGGCGAAACGACATTGGTTAGCGACTTAACTGTTGAAGTAAACACTTCGTCAGGCGCGACGGGCAATATTTAGATGGGTCAAATTTTATCAGTTCACGTCACCAACATGTTGTTACAGTAGTATATAATAACGTACATTAACTAATAGGTGAATTAATTTGCATAAATATTTTGATTTCAATTTACAAATTATGAAATTTGAATTTTTGATACTTATTTCAATTAATTTGAAAATCCAAAAGAAATACCACTGTTATTTCATACGAGTAGCTTTAAGTTTTAATTTTGTCAGTCAGTCCCAATGACTGTAATTTTTTGACATTATTGTATTTTTTAGATTTGAAGAGACTACAGCTTTATATCCCGTGTGTGACTCAAATAATAACGATTGTCTGGGAGGCTTCGCTCGTTTGTACTATGAAATCCATGCGTTACTGAAAGAAAAAAACAATGCACTTTTATTAAATGCCGGTGATACTTTTCAAGGCACGTATTGGTATACGCTAATGAAATGGAATATAACGCAGAAATTCATAAATTTACTACCCAACGACGTACATGTAAGTAAAAAATAATAAAATTTTATATAATTAGGTACATAAGTTTTAATCGACAAACAACTTTCATTATTTTTCTTTAAATCTCTATTTTATCTCAGCACTGTCATTTTGATTTGAATTTTTGATGATTATTCTTTAAAATATTTCACAAATTTAAATATATGAAATTTTTTCCCAACAAATGTCTGATAGCTACTTTTTGGTCAAGTACAAGAAGATAATATCCTTTTTTGTATTGATATTGTACTAAATATATTATATATAACTGACCAGTAATAAAAATTTATAACTAGTAGAGCCACTCTACAGCTATAGTATGATTGTAGCACGAATGGGTCAGCTCGACCTGGGAAGGAACACGCTTTCACAGAATACCAGCCTAAAGTTACAGCCTATATACGCCCCACCACTGGGCACAGGCCTCCGATCATTTCTGAGAGAGTTTTAGGGCAAGGAATTGTCCTCAGTGCTGCCCTAATGCGTATTGGCGAACTTCACGTCTTCGAAATATTTTTTCTTATTTCTTAGACATGCAAGTTATTCATGATGTTTTCCTTCACCGCCAAGCACGTGGTAAGTCAGCACCTAAAATTGCGATTACCAATTTCACTGGTGCCGGCGGGAATCGAACCCGATTTGCTGACCGTTAACGACCTCAGTTACCAGCCTAAAATAGCAGCTTAATACTGTCTTTCATATAGTGAGTGTAGAGAACCGGGAACCCGTTTTACTGGAATTGAGGCATTCACGTACATTTTGATTCTTAATCGTGTTTAAATGTAGATGGATATAGGCCACAGCATTCACTTATTATCCGGTGGACTGTGTTCGTGACAATAAAAATTGCCGATAGAATTACCAAAATTAACTCTTTAATTCACTTTACACTAATTAAACTTAAAACATTAATAATTAATCACACTGATTCACTTTATTCCGCTCCGAAGCTTCGCTTGTCTCGCCAAATTTAATACTCCCCCCGATCGCATCTTGCAGCGCCTATAAATACAAGTTAGCACCGAAACATCCAGAATATTCAATTAAACATGCGCAAGGGGCCGAGAGTTCGAGTGTCGACTTCTAGAAGCTTAGTTCTTCTTTCCGAGACTAGATGGCGCTGTCGGTTGAAAGATTAGTGATGTCATTTTCTGGAAAGCTCCCCCTTGCTCTCGTCCCTGACACTAGATGGCGCTAGTACCGGATATATGACGTCGACTTATTCGTGCAACACTGCCCCCTCCTAAGACATACTCATCCCGAGCATTATCGGCCCCATAATAACGATCCACAATCCAAGCCAAGCGATCCACATGGACGATTTTAGGAGTCCCTCTTGCGCCTTTCTGTATCCGGTAGGTTGCATCGTTGATCCTGGTTACAATCCGTTACGGGCCATCCCATTTAGCTTGAAGCTTAGGAGATTTCCCTTTGCTGCGGACTGGATTGTGCAACCACACCAGTGAACCTTCGTCGAAGCCTTTATTGTTCATTTTGCGGTCGTACCGGGTTTTCATCTTCTCAGACATTTGCTGACCCGATTGTCTGACATACTCATAAATGTCATTCATTTTGTTCCGCAAGTCATTTGCATAATCGGTTATACTGCGTGGGGCATCAGGTGGTATCCCGGTGATCAGGTCTGCAGGCAGCCGTAATTCTCTTTCAAAATTTGCGAAAGCTGGTGTCACTGGTGTACTTTCGTGAACAGCGCTTCGATATGACAACAAAAACGGTTGTATGTGCTTGTCCCAATCTCTTTGCCGATTGTCTACAACTTTTGCTAGATACCTCTCCAATGTCTGATTAAATCGTTCTACCATTCCATCAGATTGCGAGTGATAAGACGTCGTTGAGTACCCATAACTCGGCAAGTTTCCTGGAATATTTGAGACTCAAAATTCATTCCTTGATCGCTGTGAATCTCAAAAGGTACTCCAAAACGACAGAAGATTTCAAGAACTAGCTTATCCGCAACTGTTGAAGCTTCTTGATTTGGAATGGCGAAGACTTCTGGCAACTTAGTGAAGTAATCCATCACAACCATGAAATACTTGTTACCGCTTTTACTCTCAGGAAACGGCCCCACCACGTCAATGGCTATTCTCTCCCATGGTGCACCAACATTGTACAACTTCAATGCACCTCTACTACGAGTGTAAGGTCCCTTTACAGCCGCACAACTTGTACATTTTCGACACCAGTCCTCGACATCGTTTCGACAGTGGACCCAGTAAAACCGTTCTCGGATCTTCAGTAGAGTCCGTTTAACTCCCAGATGGCCTCCTGAACAATCATTATGGTACAGCTGTAGAACATCCGGTACTCTAGCTTTAGGGACAACCATTTGCAAATGACAGCTGTCTCCCCGAACATTTTCCCATTTACGGCACAGAACTTCTTCCTGAAGCAGCAATCTTTCCCACTGGGCCCAATACCTTTTAGTGGTCGAACTCATCGCTGAGACGTCGCTCCACTTGAACTTGGGAGCACTGGCCTTCATCCATTGCAGAATCGGCTTGATGTCCGGATCTTCCTGCTGTGCATGTCGTAAGCTGTCCTTCCACTCGTTGCTGAGGTGGTCGGTCCTGAGCATCCTCACGGATACCACTTCCTTTCTCTCTTGCCTAGTACAATGTTTGCAATCTTCAGAACAAGGTCTTCTTGCATGCATCTGCGTTGCCATGAGATTTCCCGCTGCGATGTTCGATCTCAAAGTCGTATTCCTGCAGTAGTTCAATCCACCTCGCAACTTGTCCTTCTGGATTTTTAAACTGTAATAGCCATTTTAGTGCAGCATGGTCAGTTCGTAAGTGAAATTTCCGCCCCAGAAGATATTTGCTAAAATGCTGCAACGACTTTACCACAGCTAGCAATTCGCGTCTTGTGACACAATAGTTACTTACTTACTTACTTATCTTCACGCAAAATCCCTAACGGGGTAGCCAGAGAGAACAGATCGCCAAGTGTCACGATCCTTACATACCTATTTCGCTTCTTTCAGGTTCATTAACTTCTTCATACATGCACGTCTAGGTATCCGAGTACTCTTGACCTTCCCCTCTTCGAGCAATTTGCTCACATGGTCTTCGAAAGTTAGTCTCGGTCTACCTCGACACCTTTTAATATTTACTTTCGCGCTATATATTTTCTTCACCATTCGATTTTCACTCATTCGCTCAACGTGCCCAAACCATTGGAGTACGCCTCTATCAATTTTTGTGATGAGGTCATCTTTCAATCCTGCCATATTGCGAATCTCTTCGTTTCGCTTTCGATTGGCTATGGTAACGCCACACATTTTACGAAGAGATCGCATCTCCACTGCATTCAATTTGCTTTTATGCTTCTTCTGGCATACCCAGGTATCGCTGCCATATAACGAAGTCGGTAACAACACTGCGTTATGTAGTGCAAGGCGTGCACTCTTCACCATGCCTTGCCTTTTGACTAATGCATTCAGGGCACCATTGACTTTGTTTCCGGCAGCTACACGCCTATCCACATCTAAATCACATCTTCCATCCCGGCTGAAAGCACTCCCCAAGTATACAATATCATTTACCTGTTCTAGACATTCCTGATTTACCCATATTTCACATTTCGTTCTCTCTTCGTCCTTTTCAAATACCAGAACCTTAGTTTTATTAGCATTCAAACGGAGACCTTTAATTTCACATTCCTCTGTCATACACGTGACTAATGCCTGCAGTTCTGCTTCTGATGGTGCAATAAGCACTGCATCATCAGCATACAGACACAATAGTTCCTTTCCGGTTTTGACAACGTCTTGCTGAAGTACGCTATCACGACGTCTTGGTCATGATTCCGTTGAGACAACACACCGCCAATTCCTATATCACTTGCGTCCGTGTCAACTTTAAATTCTTTGCTTGCATCAGGGTATCCCAAAATAGGTGTTTTGCACAGACGGTCCTTGAGCTCCTGGAATACGATATTGCAACTCTCATCCAATCAGAAATGTCGCTTCTCCTCGGTTAGCTTGTGCAGAGGTTTCTATATCTCCACCAACCATTACATCAGATTTGATAGACCACAAATCCTCGCGAAAGAACACCGATTCCTACCAAGTTTGATACGTGAGGCTATTGAAATTAAAAAACATCCTAATTTCAATAGAGAAAGAGGCTGGGTACTACCACCTGCTTGGGATCCTATAATCAATAAAATTAAAACTAAACCCAAGCATACCACTGCAAGACCTCAGGACATAGTCAGTTCATTTTGCATAGATCGGACCATAAACAATAATTAAAAAAGCTGAAGTTACTCCGGGTTTAACAATGACATCGGGACGTCAGTCATCTCAGTCCCCCGTGACCATGGGTGCTGGAAAGCACCCGAAACATCGGGAATTAAAAATAAAAGTAAATAATAAGTAAAAATAAACGCGATAAAATCCGTAAAAGTAGTTTTAATCATCTGCAAAGTTCTTCACAAATCGCCGATAATAGGAGCACAAACCCAAAAATGCTCTAACCTGCGTCTTGTCTTTTGGAACCAGCCAATCCTTGACAGCGGCGATTTTCTCCGGCTCCGTGCGGATACCTTCTTCCGACACTACATACCCCAAAAAGTTGACTTGCCGTTTGAATAGTGAACATTTCTTCGGAATCAACTAGAGGTTGGCACTCTGAATCTTTATGAGCTCGCGTTCCAGGTTTTGAAGGTGTTCCTCAAACGTACGGCCAACGATGATGATGTCATCCAAGTAGCCCAGACAGGCATCGCCAATTAGCCCGGTAAGTACAAGCTCCATCAGTCTTTCAAACGTTGCTGGAGCATTGCACAATCCAAACGGCGTTACTTTAAATTGCCACAGACACTTTCCCGTCGAGAACGCGGTTTTCTCCTTGTCCTTAGGGTCAATTTCAACTCCACTTTTTAGATCCAGCGTGCTAAATTATTTTACTCCTGTAAGCATGTCCAGCGTGTCATCAATTCTTGGCAAGGGATAGCTGTCCTTCTTTGTAACGTCGTTCAGACAGCGGTAATCAACACAGGACCGCATGCTGCCATCCTTCTTCTTTACCAGCACCAAGAGTGAACACCATGGACTAGATGAAGGTTCAAGAACACCATCCTTCACCATTCCCTCAATCATAGTTTCCACTTCCTTTTACCTGCTGCTACCGGCAATTTTCTTGGCCGCTGACGGATAGGCAATTCTTTTCCTGTGTTTATTTTGTGTTGAACTAAGCCAGTCTTTCCTATGTCAGCATCGTTTGATGAGAATACATCGGAGTACTTGAGTAACTACTTCTTCGCCTTGACCAATTCGTTCGGGGATAGAACACTGCGACAATCTTCCAAAAGTGTGGTCACTCTCGTTTCCGAATCCTTGCTGGGGATCCCACTCGATATATATTTGCACCGACGTAACCAATCCACTTCCTCGCAAGTACCAACCAGTGTGCCTTTTTCTATAATCTGTTCCCGGTCACTAAGGTTCAGCACACGTACTCCTGAGATGTCAGTGGTCCTGACCAAGGTGCGAGCTACTTTCCATGGAAGGTCATTGTTTATCCTTTCCACAAGTACACAACGGTGACCTTGCCCAGCGTTTCGAGGAAGACTAACCGGAACAATCGTTTCCGATCTCGGCGGAAGAACAATCTTCTTAATGGTGTACACGTTCCCTGGTACACGCACCTTCCATAAAAAGTTCCTCCCGTCCACATTTCAATACACCTTGCTTATCGTCGATCTCACAACAATTATTCCTCATAAAGTCTAGGCCTAAGATGCAGTCGTCCATTATATCAGCCACGATGACATTATGCAGGTAGATCACGTTGCCTAGCTTCAACTCCATCTCCTTCTCTCCACGGACGGGTATACACTGACCGGGGGCTGTTACCAAATTAATTCGTTCTCGGTTGTATGCGGAGTCCCCAAGGAACTGACTTATAAGTTGGGAACTAACAACCGTACGAGAGGCTCCAGTGTCTATGGTCAGTTTATTTTTTTTTTTTTTTTTTTTTAATTTTAATAAGGATAACAACAGCGTATATCACTAAATACAATTTCAAATTTACTTCAAGTATGCCAATAACAGTTATCCACATATTAAATATAAAGGTAAGCTATTATTAAGATAAGAAATTAAACAAATTAAAACAACTTAATAAAATAACAGTAATAAAATTAAGTAATTTTAGGTTTACTAACACTAAGATATTAGGTCTTTCTGACAAATTCATGTGTGATTTACTTTTCGAGTTAATTTTGTAATTCATTTATTTATATCATGGCAAAATATATTCTATATATCATTACATATATACATACATACACATACAAACATACATACATACACATACACACACATATATATATATACTATATATATATATATATATATATATAAATATATATAATTCACTAAGGTAAATTAAACAACAGAAGCTGTGTTTAATATGCATGTACGTACCCTGTTTCTAAAATCACTTTTACTGCCTATAAAGGGATCGATGGTATTAAATGTTTTGTTATAACTTGATAGCAAACGTGTTGAGATACTATTTTTACCATAAATTGTGGAATGACGAGGTATACTAAACAAAGTTTTCTTGGTGATTCTTGTACGTTTTCTTTGCACAAAATTTTACACAAAAAGTTTACACGGCATTCCGTTGACCTCGCCCCTGATGATTACACTGTTCCCATCGTGGGTTTGTGAGATCGAGGTTCTTGGGGCTATTTTAACATCAGCCAGCACCCGCACCGCAGTTCTGGCTTTTACTCGTTTCCCTGCTGCTGCTGGGCGGTGCTGTCGGCCGCACTACCCTCCTGAGATCGTTCAACTTCCCTTTCTAGGGTTCGCTTAGGGCAGCTGGATCGAAGATGGCCCTTTTCCCCACAGTCATAGCACCTAGGGCTGTATCCTTTGTTACGGTCGCAAACTGTAGCTGCTGCAACCTCCCTGATGCGATGGGAACGATGATCCTGCCGCTTCCACCTCCAGTGCATGGGCCAAGGCGTCCTTAAGTGTCTCGTGGTGCCCGAGCCTCACAGCAGCTCTGACTTCCAGGTCGCGGATGCCGTCGATGAATGTCTGCACCAGGTTCCCTTCAATGAGCGCAGGTACAGACCGGTATGCTTTTCGCACCAGGTTCTCTACCTCTAGATAGCCCACTGCTGCAGGTTTTCGTTGATGCGCTGCACGCGATCTTTAAGCTGCGCACGAAAGACGTGTTCCAGGTGGGAGCCACCATATCTCGCCTCCAATGCCTCAAGGAGTTGCTCATAAGTCACTTCCACACCGAGAGCTTCCAGAACTGTTAAGGGTTGGTCGCGCAGGCCCAGTGTGGGAGCAGTCATGGCCTGACCTTTATTCCAGTCGTTCGCCTTCATAACAGCCTCGAACTGGATTTTGTAGGATGACCAGGAAGAAGTCCCGTCGAACGGTGGCACCTTGAACACACGTAGCGAATGTGTAATAGCTACTACGGGAGCTGTAGTTCCATCCCCAAGTTTTAGTTCGTCCAGCGTTTTCTTCACGCCAGCCATCACGTAATCAACCCGATAGTTCACTTGGTCGATTTGGGTTTTAGCTTCCTTGATTTGGGTTTCAGCTTCCAACAGGCGGTTGTTATGTTGACAACAACCCTATCCTTCACCTCCCTTATCTCTTTCCCGAAGTTAGCGTGAATGTCCTGCACGAGGAGCATCTGTTCCTCCTGTCGGCGAGCCTGTTCCTCCTGTCGGCGAGCCTGTTCCTCCTGCTGCTCTTTCAACAGACGGGCCTGTTCCTCTCGTCCGCGCTGCAGCTTATCCTGTGGCATCGCCATCAGAGCACCTAAGTCAGGTACTGCAGATGTAGGAGCTACTGACGGGCCCGCAGCCTCCGTGGCTGGCAGTTGGCCTTCCGAAGTCTGCGGAGTTGCACCACCAAATCTCCACTGGTCCGTCTACTGCTGGCGTTGTCTTCGGATGCTGACACCCTCTGATTCCTCCTTCGGTAAAATCGGCATGATTTGATCCCACTTCTGACACCAATTGTTACGAGCTTGAGGGTTCGTGACAATAAAAATTGCCGATAGAATTACCAAAATTAACTCTTTAATTCACTTTACTAATTAAACTTAAAACATTAATAATTAATCACACTAATTCACTTTATTCCGCTCCGAACCTTCGCTTGTCTCGCCAAATTCAATACTCCCCCCGATCGCATCTTGCAGCGCCTATAAATACCAATTAGCACCGAAACATCCAGAATATTCAAGTAAACACGCGCAAGGAGCCCAGAGTTCGAGTGTCGACTTCTAGAAGCTTAGTTCTTCGTTCCGAGACTAGATGGCGCTGTTGGTTGAGAGATTAGTGATGGCATTTTCTGGAAAGCTCCCCCTCGCTCTCGTCCCTGACACTAGATGGCGCTAGTGTCAGATACATGACGTCAACTTATTCGCGCAACACTATTATAGATAGCACATTTACCACAAAGTCAAAAATGCCAAATTTTACACTACGTGTCAGAAAATTCAATACCCCTTTTAATTCAGTGAGTGCCGTTATTAATGTACATGACAAAAAGACCTCATATTTGTCAATGATCGCGACAAGGAAGAAGTATGGCTATTCTATTTACACCAAGTGAAAATACTGAGACTGGGAGACGCCCAAAAGTACGAGACGTTTGGTACTGCGATTGCGTAGGTAATTGATCCGCCTACCAAGAGTGGCAATCATTGCAAACATTTCCAAGGCAGTCAGTGCACTTTCACAGGCTGACGAAAAAAAAGAAAACATCAAGTGTGTGTCTTCAGAAAATGAAGTCTACTGATTAAGGAACGAGGCTCAGTGGAGTGACTGATAGCAAAAACTCTAGTAAAATTAAACGACTTAATGAATTATAACTTTGTCTGGATTTTAACCGTGGAAAAGAAATAACTTTTGTATTAAAAATTTCTTCGTTCAGCTGTGGCTTAAAGAAGTTATCGATGTTATTGTATGAAATAAAGTATTTTTCTTTCAGACAATAGGTAATCACGAATTCGATGGTGGAGTAGCAGGCCTCGCTCCATACCTTGCAGCGCTCCGTGCACCGGTTGTTGTTGCTAATATCGACACAAGTGCTGAACCTGGTTTAGGCAGTCTATACAAATCACATGTAATACTAGAGAAAAAAGGCAGAAAAATAGGTATAATAGGGTTAACTACTCCAGAAACGAGGGTAAGCAATAATCGTGAAAATAGGTAGGTAGATTACGAAATGTATCTAGATAGGCATTTTTAACTCAGAGTCATAATTTATCATAGTCATATTTTAGTCATATTATGCGTGGTAGATCCACGCTACAACTATATAAAAATGGGTTGGCTCCACCGGGGAAGGACCACGCTCTTACAGAATACTAGTGTAAAATAGCAGCTTAATACTGCTGTGTTTCACATGGTGAGTGTGGAGATCCGGAGACCTTTTTTTTCTGGAAACGAGGTATTCCATCGTAGTTCTCAGGGGTAATAACGCATCTGCGTTTAGATTCTTAATCGAAGATAAATATAGATGTCTATGGGCCACAGCCACTTACTGATGTGCTGTACAGGACTGTGTGCTCGTTTGTCACCCTAATTTTGTATGAAAAAAATAGTAATTGTTCAAAATGTTACAGACAACTTCAAATTCAGAAGATGTTAAATTTTTGGATCCTGTTACCACTACTAAAAAAGAAGTTGAATTGCTGACTAAGCAAGGCGTTGATATTATAATTGTTCTCTCACACTGCGGTCTTGAAGTTGATAAGTAAGTACATTGAATTTTTTAAGCCAGAGTAAGATAAATATCATATGAGAAATATCAGTTATTTACTTATATATTCAAATATATACAATATTAAAACAATAATAACAAAAACTAAACCTAAAAACTAACCGTCATACAGTCCTACTCCTCGCGGTGTGGTGCCAAGAACGCTACCTGCATTTCTTCGTTGAATGGATATATTTGGCCTTTGAGCGGGAAAAGAAACCAACAGCAAATTAGGTCATACATTTTGAGCTTGGTTGCTAGACTGACATAATTTGATAGCATAATTTTGTCATTGGTTTGAATATTATAGACAAAGGAATTTATAAATTTCCGCCTTTTGTTCAATATCATTTCCACGGAATAATCCTTAATCGACATTATAATACCTATATTATATAATAGCACTGCTATAACTTTGACTTTGACAACGCCAAGATAATATATACTTATTTAGATAGTTGTTTTTTTATTAAAAGATTTTCATTAACTGATATGGCTGTTCCACAAGCCCGAAGTCACTCAGCAAGCTATGGAAAGAGCTAAGTTTGTAGTTTTTCTATTGGATAAAAATAGAAATGAAGAAATTCACCGGTGAACCAAGATTACTGAAATAGCCTTCTGGGCGTGTTTACTGAAATGGCAATGTGATTGTCACGTCTCTCATAAAAGTGACGGTGCTTAGACAAACAAAATGGACGTCCGTAGGTAAAGATCGGGGTCACATAAGGATTAAGCCATTCGGACGCCCCTATCGGGATAATTTGCATCCCCAACCATCCCTCTTTTACTTATTAAGCCATTGTTTGACTACAATACCGTATGTTATTGTGATTAGCCCCTAGATTGTAATCCAGCTTGACCATTCGGGTCGGTTTAAGCCGCCATTGACTGGGTTAAATGGTGTACATTGGGACAGGTGTATGTCCAACAGTGGACTGACGCGGGCTAATGATGTTGATGATGTAACGTTACTTACGTACCCGTGTGATACATTACTTACTAACTGTTGATTTTAAATTTATATGTATTTTAATCAAAATAATAATAATTTTGAATAAATAAACAATTAAAAATATCATTTTTGGCAATTATTTCTTATGATTTTAACTGTTGGTAAAATAATATTACATTCTTTATGAATAAAGGAGTATGTTACGTAAAATGTATGTTACATTTTTTTAAGTACACTACTGGAATGGCATTTCATAAATATTTGTTCTAGTAAATATTTTGCCCTTAATCACCACTTTATATAAAATTTCAATTAAGAAAGAAAGAATTTGAAGTTAAAGTACACCATGTGCAAGAGTTAAGGTATTTCCTCGTTAATACCTATAAAATTAAATAGCTAGACTCAAGGTTTGATCGTATTGTTAGTTTATTCCTTAAAAATAGTATAAGTGTATACGTTAATATATTGGTAACACTTTACTTTTAAGACAACAATTGTTTTGAAGATTTTGAAATATTTAATAAGAAACACAAAATTGCCTTACGTTGCTACATAGCTATTGACCCTTCATATATCTCAATGTTTTTAGACGGCCACTTACATGCAATTTAAATGCAAAGACAGAGACCTATATTTTCCAATAAACTTTTCATTTTAATGACTATAGCTTATGAAACAATGAAATATATTTGTTTCTTTACTTCCTATGTAAAGTTATAGTCATAGCCGTGGTTGCTTCCGAACAAAGGGAGGCTACGTCAGCAATCCTGGTTCGATCTTCGTCGGCACCAATAAAACTGTTAATTGTAATTTAAATTATATTGTTTTCCCTTATGTTCGGCGTTGGAGAAAAGAAATAAACATAGTGATATGTTTGTAAAATATTGTATATAGATGGAATTAAAATATTTCGAAAACAGTTGGTAAGGCTTCTTTTTGCCTAGGAATACGTCTGGATAGGTACTACCCTCAGCCACCTATTTCTGCTGCCAAATAACAATAATTGTTTTGCTGGTTCCGGTTTGAAGGATATAGACGGCCAATATAATCACATGCTGTTAGACATTCCATCATAGACCTCGGTACTGATAACGCATTTATAGCGTTCTTTGTATAAAATTGGCTGCAGGAGTCCATTGACTGCAGTAGCCACTTACGATCAGGTATGTGTGTTCGTTAATCACTTCATTTTTATAAAAATAAATTAACGCTTGAATTAAATTGCTCTGAAGAAGGCAGCGGGAAGGCCTGTGCTCTCAGTAGAACGTATATAAACTGTAACTTTACGTCCTTTTCTTGATACATTGTTGTTGAAAGTAATTAGCTTACTTAAAATATTATAATAATATTCTTTTTGAAATCTCTCTATATAATTTATAAATTTCTGGAAGTTACTAATATACATTCGTTAATAAGTTAGTTGAGGCGTTAATGACCGACCAACAGCGGTGTATCGATTTAAAAGCGTCAATTTTAAATCACATGGATTTGCGTAAAGTAGCAGAAACATTGGAGTAAGGTTTTGAATTGAAGGTTTTATAAATCTACTTGTCCACTATTGACAAACCTTTCAAAATTGGTGGGGTATAACAGATTTTTTATATAAGTGGGGGCAAAAAAGCAAACGAACATGCGGCTCACCTGATAGTAAGTAATACAACTCACAAGTAATACAAAAATGCTGCCGCCCCTGAACAACTCCAACACTAGTGTTATGTTCGCCCGTGCAGACAACGGGCCACACACACATCTCAACAACTTAGTGCCGCTACACACTCGCCCTCCGGACGGGCGACCCTATCATATCATAATAAGAGAACTCCTCTCTATATCGATTAGAGAGTCGAGTAACAACCCATAATGCCGCAGATAGGCCAACTTTGACTTCTACCAGATAACCACTCTTTTTCGTAGTCTAACCGACTACGAAAAAACCTACCGATTACGACATAAATCGTACTAAACACCTAAAACGCCAATAGAAGGCTCCCAGGACCGGTCCATAGTGGTGGACCGCGAGGACAACACGGGTAATGGGGGCTTACCCCGAGGCCCGAAACCTGTGCCTTAATGCACATGAAGACGACATCAACTAGTGTTAATCGCAGATGCTTTGTCGGTATTTAAAAAAAAGAGCAGGCTTCTTTTTTGATGGTCCCTAAATCGTATTGATCTATCATCCCATTTTGACACAAGGATTATTGTAAGTGAAAGATGTAAGAGGTTGTAAAGATTTAGGAAAATGTCAGCCAAGCCTTAGAGCTTCTACATGGATGACAGTATAATCATCTCTAGACTAAGACCAGCGCACAAAGGCGCGAAACATCTGGTACTGGTGCTATCTACAATGCGCATGACGTGAGTGACTATAACTTGAGGCTTAATCGTGCAGTGGTACTGCATGGGCTGATTAAGGAACAGAAGAACTAATGCGTTAGTGCTATTTTGAGTTTATGTATTAGCAGATAACTAAAACATTTAAGTATCGATGTTTAGAATAAATAAATAGTTAATTATATTTCGTAAGGGAATTCACTACCCATATTGGGTAATATGAATGGTGAATTGGTTAAAATTGTTAATTGTAATATGTCTTGTATAAACGGTGTGGCGTTAGGGAACTCACTACCCGTATTATCTTTTAGATATCGTTAGAGGAAAAGTGAAACAGGAGATGAGGAACAGTACCTACCTAACTACCTAACGGATATGTTAAGGCAAAATTATAAAAAACTGCAGTTGTCAAGCTGCCATGTGACAATCTACGGGAGTGGCCTATGTTTAGCAGTGAACTTTGATAGGATGATGATGATATAGTTTAAACCAAAGGAAAAAAGTGTATTAGTTAGTATTTTTAATTTTCAGAAAAATAGCAAAAACGGTTGGTGAAAACTTAGATATTATAGTGGGTGGTCATTCACACAGCTTGTTATGGAACGGAAAGGCGCCAACTAAGGAACACGTGTCTGGGACATATCCGATTGTTATTACGCCTGACGCTAATCCCGATCATAAGGTAAAATACTATTTAAGTCATAAAATTTACTTTAGCTTTACGACCAAGACGTTCTTTTGCTGAAAAGAGATCTTAGTTATATGATTTGTACGTGTCTTTTTTAGTAAAAGCGCATTTGACGGCATGCGTGTAATAAAATATAAATTCAATTACAAGTCCTTTGACGTCATTTTAGCTTAACGTAAAGAATAATAAAACATAATTATTTCTGCCACTTAGCAGCAGGGGGGTTACTACTGTTGTGTGGACTTAAGGCTCGAAGTGCAGGAGAGCGAATATATTTTTTAAATATAATTACTCTACCTCATTCTATTTCAAAATATATATATAATATATATATATATAAAAAATATTACACAGTCCACCTGAAATTAAGTGGATGCTGTGGTTCATACACATTTACATCTACTCTCGGTTAAAAATAAGAATGCAAATGCTTCGTCTGTGTGTGAATAGATGGAATGCCTCGTTTCCAGTAAAAACGATCTCTGGCAAACAACACTCACCATACGAAATACAACAGCATTAAGCTGCTATTTTACCATGGTATTCAGTGAGCGCTTGGCCTTTCCCCGCTCGAGCTGACATATTCATCCTACAACGATAATATAGCTGCAGCATGGCTCTATCACTTATAATATCAGTTTGTTGAGTATTATATATATATATATATATATATATATATATATATATATATATATATATATATATATGATCGGAATCTCGGAAACGGCTCTTTTTCATAAAATTTTGTGAAAATGTCTTTTTGTCCGTATTTTTAGGCAATGAAAAACTGCTTACAATATCATTAGAATAAGAAGGTAAATTTTGACAGTTTTTTAATGATTACAAATAGCTTAATTCGTACATTGGGCGGTCACAAAATCGTTATACCATGGTTCGAGCCCAGACCGACCGACCGACTTTTTTTAATTTATTTTTCAAGTTTCTTTCTTTTTTGATAAAATCCATTTTTTGAGCCCTTTTTTAGTATTTTTTAAAAACACGAAAATTTAAATAAAACTAATTGCACTCATGATTTTTTATTAAAATAACCAGATCAGTTTTTTCTATTATGTCGGTAAGAACAAAAAAATATTATTCGTATTTCAGCAGTATGTAATTTGTATCTAAATATAATTTCCAAAACACACGAATTAAAAAAACGGAGCGAAAAATACCGACCAAAGCTCGGTCAACCGGGTATAAAATAAAAAATTTTTTTTTTTTTTTATATATATATAAAAGACAAGACGAGGGAGACGACGTGTCTTTGACCTTACATGATGTGGTGATTTTACTACAAAAATATTTTTCATCAGATTTATCAACCCCAAACATATTTCATAAAAGTCTTCTTGTGCTATTTATAAGTCGACTATAAGCTACTCAAGGTGTTGTCGTATGGTGAAATCGATTAAAAGGCCCACTCAAAGTAGATTATCTACAAAACCGTAACTTTTTTAACGTGAAAACAAAATGGCATATATTTTTCAAGATTTTTGCAGTTATGATGGAATTTAAAACATAATAGAAAACATTTCACTGCTCAAAAAATCCTTCAAAAATGTCGCTTAAAACCTTTAAAAGGTGTTTTTCTACGCAGTAATAATATAGTTTCATATTAACGGCTCCGTGGAGCAGTGGCTTAGCAATGACTTGCTGCGCTAGGGGCCGCGGGTTCGAATCCTGCACGGAACAAGTATTTGTATGGCCTACAAATAATTGTTACTGTGGATGTTTGTCATTTTGCAATTTATGTTTGTAAACTGACTCCACGATACAGGGGAAAATCCTAGTGTGGGGTAATGTTTTAACAAAAATATATTAAAATGTAAAATATTCTGCTAACACGCATTGGGACAGCGCGGCGTGTATGTCCTTGCCTTAAATCGTCATAAAAATGAAAGGAGGCCCGTGCTCAGTTATGGGGTATATTTAGGCTGTTATTTTACTTTTAGTTTTAAATGACACACACCAGTGGGTGTAAAAGGCGACACAGGGAAATTGAAACATGAGACGGGCAGCAGCATTTTCTTTATAAAACCTCAATAATAATAATAATAAAACTTCAGTTGCCTATACTCTTTGCCAACCTGCCTGCTAAGCATTTTTAATACGTAATCAAGGATAGACGTAGATGTCTATGGACCACAGCAACCACTTACCATCAGGTGGTCTGTGTGCTCGTTTGTCACACTATCCTATAAAAAAAGCATGGAAACTATGACAGATGAGGCTAATGATGAGACTTATGAATATTAAGCTGTAATTAATTAATTAATGGTTTATTTTTAAAAGAATATTAATAGTGATATTTACACTACAACTCCCCTGAGGATTAAGACGAAATGCTTCATTTCCAGTAAAAAGGTCTCTAGTTATCTACAGTCACTATACGAAATATAGCAGCTTTAAACTGCTATTGTATGTTGTAAGAGCGTGATCCTAACCCGGTCCTAGTCAGCCATTCGTGCTACTAGTACTAGTACTAGTCGCCCTGTAGAAAATTAAATCTAATATTTTCTATTTGTTTATTGTATTTGGCGATTTACGCCAACTGCTGATAAATAACGCTACATCAGCCAAAGCAGAGAATGGCGACTATCATTAAGATAATTGATATAATCGGGCGTTACTTTGCGGAAATCCATTATAATAAAAATATTAATTAATTTGCAACCTTCCGCTAAATAAATACAATAATGTGTCTTACCTGGATTGAAGAGCACCTCCCGCCCTCTCTCAATTGCGTGCACTAACTTCGTCATTACTAGTCCCAGCACCACTACTCCCAACACCACTACTCCCGGCACCACTACTCCCGGCACCACTACTTCCAACATCTGATGTAGACTGATGTACATCACCAGAGGATGCCTCGTGTAGAGGTGAAACACGTGTCGTATTATCGTCGATGGTGTGTCTTACCTAGAATAGTGGTGTTGGAAGTAGTGGTGCCGAGAGTAGTGGTGTTGGGAGTAGTAGTGCTGAGACTAGTGGTGACGGAGTTAGTGCATGCAATTGAGGGAGGGCGGGAGGTGCTCTTCAATCCAGGTAAGACACATCATTGTATTTAGTTAGTGGAAGGTTGCAAATTAATCAATATTTTATTGACTATCATTAAGTTTGCCGTTTGTTACGCATTAGGTCAATAAAATAATGTTTAAAAATATAACATTCCACAGGTACTGGTTGTAAGTGCGGCTTCGTTTTCCAAGTACTTGGGCAATATGACTGTGTTTTTTGATAGAAAAGGTGATATAGTCGATTATTTCGGTACACCAGTGTTTCTCAATAGGTCAATACCAGAAGGTATGTTTTGCTTTTAAATAATTAAATATAGACAATTTTATGCTTAATATTATTATGGCAATATATGGAATAATATATTGCCATATATATGTAATATATGGAATTTTTTCTTGCGGGTGAAATTTCATGAAATTTATTTAGGAAAATTAAAACTATTTAATAAAAGAGGATTTTTAATCGGTGTATTCATTTCCGAGAAATCGGTGCATAAAAACACTCCATTTAGTTACTCGGTTAGTAAACATTTTGTATTGTAACAATGAGCCATTTTCGAGGAATTAAAATATTAAAATATTTTACTCTGGTTTGGATTTAAGCTGATGAACTAAGTTTTATTTCATTATTTAGACGTCTGTCAGTATAATTCCTTTATCTCAAACTTTTTAACTTTTTTGAACCTTTTTTAATCTACTGAAGTATAAATAAGCGCAAAAACAAAATCATTTTATAAAAATTGAACATAAGAACAAGTTTTGCGTGAAGACAGAAGGGCGAATCATAGTACTCGTAAACTCGTAATTTTTATTGAATTTGAAAATATTCTATTTAAGCGTGTACTTTAGAGATATTCCATTATGAAACCGTATAAAAAGCTTATTATTTCTTAGGTATTGTTGAGAACCGATTTCCTTTTTATTTTTATTAGTATAATTTAAACAAATCAAACGAAATGTTTCAACGATGTTAAAAAAAGTGTGAGTACAATTTAAAGCCGTTTGTCACAGTTCCATGCAAGTACGAAAGATGTAATTTGTATTTAAATATTTATACGAACATATTTCTCTTTTTTATCCTTTTTTCAACCGATTTAAAAAAGAGGTTCTCAATTCAACTTTTTTTAAAGTGTGTTACCTCAGAACTTTTTTCTAGTTGAACCGTTTTTAATGTTTCTTTTTTTTTAAAAGCTAGTGCTTCTCATGTGGTCCCCTATAAATTTTGTGCAAAATATGACCAGTAGTTTTTGAGTTATCCTTAATAATACGTATTTAATTGACTTTGACTACGTTGAATGATCTCATTTTATTTATATTGAAGTCGGTTGTTCAAAATTTTTAATTTTACCACTTGCTATAAATCCGTTACAGTCCAGGCTGTTAAGCTCTGGAATGCGCTGCCTTAAGATATCCGTGATGTGCGATCGATTAATACTTGTATCTTTAAAAAATAGTAAAAGACAAATTACTACTATAATTATGTTTATCTTGCAATTTCCTTTTTATTTTTTAATATTGTTTGAGGTATTTGTTAATTTATTTATTTATTTATTTATATATAATGACATTTTACATATAAATATTCGTGTTTATACAAAGTTTAATTATATCTTATTTTATATATTTCTAATTTATAAATATTTATCATATTTCATTTGTATAGTAAGTATGAATATCTATATTGCAACACCTATCTACAGATAACAGTAGTTCTATTCCTTTACGTCTTCGGTTGCCTGGAAGAGTTTGCTACATAAGGATAAGGCGGCCAAATTGTATAATTTAATTTATTTTAAATTATATGTATCATTTCATTTTGTGGTAAACAATAAAACTATATTCATTTTGAAAAAACCAAAAGTACTGTAGTAACAAATTTAACACTAGAACAGGATTTCCTTTAAATTAATTTAAAAAAAAACAACGTACGAATTTGTTTTAGCCGTTCTGTGTCAGGTAGTTCTTATTCAGAAACATTCGACTTTTTTTTCTACTTGACATAATATTTTGAGAATAAGGTTAGCAATTATTACAGTTAGAGGACCAGAAGCGAACTAGTACCACTTATTGTTAATGAAATATTTTCAGATAACCAACTGTTGCATTTATGTAGCAACATTAAGATATAATTACGCCGTATGGCAACATTTGTTTGTATGTAGCAACACTAAGATTTCATGTAAAATATATTAGCCGTGTGGCAACACCGGGTTCCAAAAGATTCTCACGATTACATCGCTCTCAAGATTTTTCGTCTTTTTTATTTCATACAACCAAATATCGTTTAATATGCAGCGCAACACCAGCGCAACACCAACGTTATAGAATTTTTTAAAAAGTTGAAAGCGTGGTTACTGGATAATTATACATATTAAAGAGGAAAAATAAAATTGCTTGCGCTATGTGTCTTGACGTAAAGTGCTATTATATATTATACAGTTTTATTATATAAATAAATTGATTTGTTTCAAGAAAAAGAAGATGAATATTTCTAGAAACGATCTAGTTTAGTTATAATCATATTCTTACGGAATACTACATTAATTTGCTTTCGCGTGCAATCCTGGTTCAAGCAGTGATCTGTCATATAATAATATTATAAAAATGATAGGGTATTGCGCTCGCACCCACTTTGCCTAGTCCATTACAGCCTATAAAAGTCCAATACTGAACATAATATCCTCCCCCATAGATCTATATAGCATCATAGAGGGCATTCCACCTAGTTGCCATACTTGGCAGGAAAGTTAGAAACCGCAATTTTTTAATATTTTGAATTATCATCAGGAAAATGCTGCTGCCCATTTCCCGTTTCAGTTTTTCTCTGTTGCCTCTTATAAGACACACGGAACAATATATTCTTACACCTTGGCTAGTCAGCCTCCTAAATCTGTATTATATATTTAGTGTCGCACGTTGTTTTTTTTATAAATTCTCCTCTAAAGTATAAATAAAAAATATACAAAAATAATTACGTTAACTTATTTCATAAACACGGCAATTTCGTAGGTCTTTCTTTAAAGACCTGATATATTAATTGTTACATTGTCAGAAAATATGACTTCACGTAAAATAAAGTTAGTAAAAATGTATAATGTAACTATAATAAAAACTACTTGTTCAAGTATAATAAAATTTACAGATCCAGAAATAAAGGCTCTTTTAAAACCGTACACAGAAAAGTTACATTCATTAGTAAGGGAAGTTGTGGGATACGCTAACGAAGACCTTTTAGATTCGAAGTGTAGTTCACAGGAGTGCGCTGTCGGTAATTTAGTAGCAGATGCCTTTTTAGATGCCGTAAGTATTTTACATGTAGTTATAGCCTTGAATCAAGTATATATTTTACTACATATTTATATTTCTTTTGATTACAAATATCTCTAACAGTTGAAAAATAATTTAGTTCGTCAGTGTCCATACTTTACATTAATGAGGTGTATTTAGTTGAATAAATAAATAAATAAATAAATAATTGAATAAATAATAAATTAATAATTAATCCCTAGAGCAAGCAGACTTCTAAACTGTTATGGTAAAAACATAGATATCCATGAATGAAAAATGAATACGTTCCGCAAACACTTGCAAAAAACCATAGTCGAGTTATAATTAAGTAATTGTTATGTTCATTTATATACTGTGCTGTTATGTTTCTTTTTTTATCTTTCTTTTTCTCATTTATTGTGAACACATTAAGTCACTTATAAATATTGGATGTTACTACCCTTAATATTTTGTGCATGTGGTGTTTACCTTAATTAATTGTGCATTTGGCTGTACATGTTATTGTTAAATACTCATTGATGTATTATTGTTACAATTACTGGAAAACCTAATAAATAAAATAAAAAATAAAATAAAGTATCAATATGTACAGCATGTTTGAAATATTCATTTAATAGGTTCTTTCTTCCGGTTATTCGTCATCTCGCCCGACAAAAACTCGCCCGATCAGGCGACTTGGCACCTTTCGAATTTACCTAATGTTTCTGTTGTCAACTCGCACGCTCGTATAAAGTACAGCCAGGAAAAAAATTAAACTAAATTTTAAAAACGGCTTCAAATAAAACGACATTGTATTAAACAAAAATTTAAACTAATTTTTAAAAACGACTTCAAATAAAACGACATTGTATTAAATCTTACTCGCCCGACTATAAAAATGTGAGGTAAATTAGTACAGTCAACTACAAAAATCCTTTTTAAAAACGTTTAATATTTTATGGTTGAAATTTTTTTCTTCAACTTCCTAATTTAATTTCTGCAATACGAGTGAACTAGTCGTCTTTGAAAATCCTAAATCCACTGCTGTGTATTATGTCATAGAAATTGCAATAACATACGCAATAAACGTACGGCAATAAGCGTCTCCGCAGACATACCTGATGCACTGATATGCCGCGGCAGTCTTATAAGCATCATAAACTACACTAATAGGCTGCTCGAATAAAATGATGAGCAGTTCAAATCTAAAAAGGTTTTTCCAAATATCTACGGAGCACATTAATCCGAATTTCTAACCGCCAAAGTTCTGCGTTCCCTTTCCATGTCGAAAGCATCTTTTATATCTACTGGTTAACACATGACCTAAAAAATTAAATCTGTCGATTTTTTCAAAGCACTACCGACCAGTCTTGGTAGCTCAGATGGTTAGCGCTCGCAATAAATTTCGCAGTACGCGAGCGAACCAGTTTTGATCCCAGCTGGCACCAACGAAATTGTTAATTGCAATTTTAAGTGCTGATTTACCACGTACTCGGCGGTGAAGGAAACCATCAAGAGAAAACCTGCATGTCTGAGAAATAAGAAAAAAAATATTTTTGAAGACATGTGAAGTTCGCAAACACTCATTATGGCAGCACGGCGGTCACTACCTTGCCTTAAAACCCTCTCAAAAATGAGAGGAGCCCTGTGCCCAGCAGTGTGACGTATATTGGCTGTAACTTTAACTTTAGAAACTTTAACTACCGGCCAGCTTAATTGAGGGGTGATGAAATTATATTTGTTTATTCCAAAAACGAGAACTTCGCTGCTTGTCATTGTTCAAAGGGTTAGGCAGATACTACGGACTTTCATTTACCACGGTCCTGACATACTCGTACCTCTCTCAATTCTTTCACATCCAACCTACGCATACACATGTTCGCTGGGTAATGGTACTCTTATTAGCGCTCGCTGTAAATTTAATTTTTATTTCAATAACTTTCCATCCTATGATAAACCCAGCGGTACCGTCTCATCGGCGTAACGTGTATATTACTGAGCTCCTCGATCAAGTATTTAATATATAGGTTGAATAACCCAGGCGGCGCCAAACCCTGCTCCATACGATTCATACCTGATTAAATTAAAATTTGACAAATGTTTAATTTTATAATTTCTTAAACTAACTTTTAAGAGTTTTATAATATTAAATTAAAAATATGCGTGTCAGCTCCGACGCGTGACTGGAGTCTACTCTTGAAAAACCATTCTCTTAAAATATATAATATGCAAAGAAAGTAAATGAACACATATTTATTTATAGATATTGATTTTATAAAATATGTCACATGAAATATATTACATAAAAATATATGAATATATTGAATACTGTGACAGTATTTTATCTTTTTTCACTTCACTTTATATAAATATAAATATCAACAGATATTAAATAATAATCAAACTTTAAATCTTTAAAAGTCCACAAATTGACGTTTGATATTGTAAACGTATACTGAATACTATAGTCAAATTATAGAAACAGTTGTTATGCTGTTATGCCAGCCCCACCACGCTTTACACATATTTAGAAAGAAAGAGAGAGAGAAAGAGAGAGAGATAGTGACGAAAGAGAGAGGGAAGAGAGATGCGGGAGTTTGCTGGGCAGAGGAAAAACATAATGACTTTAGTTTTCGTTAACGCTTGATTTTACTACCCATCTATTTTTAATACAGTGCGTTTTGTAATATGAAACTATTCTTAAGGAGTAAACTCCAAAAATTGTTTACAAATTATTTTATATTGTTACTAAAGCAAGCGAGCGATATCTTGGAGAGTGACTGTACAGTTTGGTTTGAGTAAAGCAATTGTATAGTAATTTTAATTTCAGACTAAGGAGTTAAAGCTTTCAAACCTTACCCATGTGTCGTTTATATTGAGAGATATGGTGCGCGGATCATTATCGAAAGGAGGTAATCGATGTTTTTAAATTTATTCGAAAACTTCGTTAATGTATATTTTAAGAAGTTTTATTGCATACACATAACAAATACAACAACGGATAATCTGAAGTACACTAAAAGTGCCAATCAATTTTTGTTTGACTTATTTCAAAATAAGTATATAATTATTTTACAAACGTGGTAGAGCCACGCTTCAGCTATATTATGGTTGTAGCACGAATGGGTCAGCTCGAACGGGGAAGGACCACGCTCTCACAGAAAACTAGCGTAAAATAGCAGCTTAATACTGCTATGTTTTGTATGGTGAGTGTAAAGATCGAGAGACCCTTTTTTACTGGATCTAGGCATTCCATCTTAATTTTCAGAGGTGACAACGCATCTGCGTTTTGATTCTTAATCGAGGATAAATGTAGAGGTCTATGAGCCACAGCATCCACTTACCATCAAGTGGACTATGTGCTCGTTTTTCATCCTTATTCTATAAAAAATATTCAGGTAAACGTTAAATTGAATTTGATAAGTGCAAAATATATTAATAAGTTTTCTCTTTTTTAGAAATCACAAGGGGCGCAATTATTAATACTTTGCCTTTTACAAATAAGGTTGTCACATTCGCACTTCCGGGTCGCTATTTGCGCCATATTTTTAAAATTTGCATGACCAATTATTATGTTGCCAAACCATTTAATGGTCCGTGGATGCCGCATGTTGCAGGTAAAACGCATGAATTAATAAAGAATAATTGGTATATATATATATATATAATATATATATATATATATATATATATATATATATATATATATATATTATATATAAATATATATATAAATATATATATATATATATATATATATATTATGTATACTTAATCTGTTTGTAAGTCAACAATGTGTTTTCTAAGAGAAATAAATGTCATTAACCCGATAAAAGTTTAGCATAAAAGTTGTTATGTCGGATTCTATCAATCGATTTGTTATAATTGCTGATATTGACCTTGTTGAAATTTGTTATAATTGCATAAATAGCATAGACTATATGACGTCATCGCTACTGCCAAGTACTAACGATCTAAAATGGATATGGGTATGGAATTAACTGCGTGATGGTAACATAAGATAATCCATAAAAGGCGACTAATATATAAAAATTATAGCTAGGGTTTTGCCAAGAATAATCTTTGATTACCGTAGGTGACAATATTCAACCACTTCATTCAAGACGGACGCGAAATACCCAATCCTGACAGGTAGCAGCATTAAATCTGCGGAACGAGCACTGCGATCGTCGATCTATCTGCTAAGCATTACGATCAAGGCAAATCCAGGGAGGATTTACTAATATGGAAAAGACCCATGTTCAGTAGCTGACTTTTGTATGCCGATGAAAAATTTTATGTTATATGCACTCACTTTATATAAAACTGAAGGGACAAAGGAACCTTCCTACAGTACGTGGCTGCTACAGCCCGTGGACACCACAACCAATTTCGAATAAAGAAGGCCACTGATGCATTATCACCCGTGAGGACTAAGATGGAATGCCTTACAGCCTGTGAATAAATTATGTAAATAATGTCCTCCAGACCGAATTTCGGTCACGGCGGCCTGCCCCAACTGAGACTAACCATCGGCGCAGGACAGGATTATAGTGCCATACCAGATTATAGTCTCATAATCCGATGGGACGGTAAACCGGAGAGAGATCAGGCACAGGACCAACGCCTTTAAGTACTTTCTGTGGCACGAGGGTGTGACACCGCCAACTCTCTGACTCGGGGCAGCTATTGAGAATTTCTTAACGGAAAAAGTCAATAATTGATATTTTGACCCGACCCGAGATTCGCACCCAAGACCTCATGATCAGCAGTCCCAGTACAACAACCACTAGACAAACGAGGCAGTCAATTATATAAGCCATTAGGCTTTCTATACCCCTCACACCGGAATACAGCAATACAAGCGCTGCTTATAAGTGACAGAAATAGCTAAGAGGGCAGTACGTACCTAGACGGACTTCTAAGTAATACAAGCGCTGCTAGTATGTGACAGAAATAGCTAAAAGGGCAGTATGTACCCAGACGGACTTCTAAGCATTACAAGCGCTACTAGTATGCGACAGAAATAGCTAAGAGGGCAGTACGTACCTAGACGGACTTCTAAGCAATACAAGCGCTGCTAGTATATGACAGAAATAGCTAAGAGGGCAGTATATACCTAGACGGACTTCTAAGCAATACTAGCGCTGCTATTATGTGACAGAAATAGTTAAGAGGATAGTACGTACCTAGGCGGATTTCTAAGCAGGAGTGGAGTCCTATCACCTAGTTATTACATGTTATATTATTTTGTTTATTGTTAATAACAGATAAATTCCGCCACGTTCTATTTTTGTTAACTAGTTGGAAATGCTTGTAATTTACTGTCATCATTGTTAATATCGCCGATATAGGAATATCAGCCTAAGGCACTCCGCCTTATTGCCAGTCATTTTACCTATAATTACATCCTATGAAAAACGCTTGAGCTAACGTAGCATTTCTGTAATATCGTGAAATTTGTCCAATTCCATTAAATATGACCGTTTTCAGTAGTTTTTTCTTATTATCTGTTCTCTGTTAGTTTCTGTTTCTCTACGTAAATTAAGAATTTACTGGCACTGCTATGCGCTTGTGGAATTCTTTATCTCTCCACATCCGTCGTTCTAAATAATAAAGGTTATAAAACAAAAGACCGCTTGTTGTACATACACTTAAAATTGTACTCTATTCGTATTTTACATTTATGCGTACGGTAAATAATCTTTACATAAATAAACAACATAGGGGCATTGGGCTAACTACACACTGTCGCAGAAGTTACAATCGTTGGAGTAGACGTAGGTAAGAGATTGAAACCTGCCCACACTCTTATGTAGATAAGTAGGCATCCTTGGAAGTACAGTATTTAATATTACACGTTTAATTTAATAATTTTAGGTCTTCGGTTAACAATTAACTTGACTCAAGGTGTTGATGTAGTTGCCCAAGTTAAAGAGGGTGGAGAATTCAAAGATTTAGATCCAGATAGAGAATATCAAGTATCAACGCTTGGATTTTTACTTCGGAGTCGAAATAATGCGTTTGAGGTAAGAATTTTTTAAGCTAAAATTTTAACTTGTAGGTAAAGCAATTATTATAAGCTACAATAAATTTAATTAAAGCTTCCATTGTTTATACACAGTTTTACAGAGTTAATACTATTAGTATTTTATTTTAGTAGACTTCAAAAAAGATGCATTTTTTAATTCTTTTTGGTAATTTTACACGATATCTTTACAAATTGTAAACCGATTTTCATAATTATTTTATGATGCTATATTTTGATCTTAAAGGTGGTATCATTTAAATCTGAGAAAAAATCTCACCCTTAAATGTGAATAAATGAGGGATGAAGTTCGTAATATAACTGTTCAAACGACATTCTGGTAGTTATTTTGAGTTTATTACTAAGCCAAATAAAAAAAGTCAAAAATATACGTCACCAATATACATACGTATTTTTAAATTCCATTTTTAAATCGTCTTGATGAACTAATTATAAAAACTACGATTCGAATAAGATAAAAATTCTATAGCGTCCTGGGTCCAAGCCACACTTCCCGTTAGACTTGGTGGCCTTCGATTGGACATCGGAAAAGTTTCTAACGTTGCGCTTGCAGCTTTCTTGTTTTCCGTATATACAAGTAGTAAGTCTAACCTTACTTGAAGAATTATAAACTATCACTAGGTAATATAGAGGTATCGTGCTTGGCTGAGGCTGAGAGCAGGACGGGATTTTCGCGTAAACTCAGCTAAGCAGAGGTTTATTAATATTTTAAAATAAAATATATATAGATATAGATGGCAGTGTAATTATCTCGTATATTGGTCTAAAGGGTAGTATCAAAAGTTTTAGAGAGAAAAGGTTAAAGAAAGAAGTAGCAGACATCTGGAATTTTTGCCCTAATCCAGCTGCTAAGCGTAGCGACCACAACAATTTGTATCAGCTATAGGAAAGGCCGATGTACAGCTGTGGACTGCTTTCAGGCTAAAGAGAATAGAGAGAAACTATGCACTATTTTATTCGCATACCCGCGACTATTTTACTTTAATAATGATGCCTTGTGAATTAACCAAAATGTCCGAAATAAGCAAAAATAATAATGGTTATCTTCTATTAACCTGTTTATAGGCTGTATCGTTGACTTTCAGTCTCAAACATTTTGTTTTAAGTTGGCTCTTGTTTTCTTCCATTGACAAATCAATAACTCTCTTTATTTCCTATTCATATATTACAAAGCAGTAGGATGTTATAGGTTTGTATGTTTTGTTGTAGGTGCTGAGACGTTATGGAAGGAATATAAGAGCGGTTGGAAAAGATAGTGATGTTTTAGAAAGTTTTATAAGAAGAACTTCTCCACTAACACCTGTATTAAATAATAGACTTACTGTAATAAATTAATCTTAAAATTACTTGAGGATAATTGCAGTAAAATTCAGTTGCAAAATTTGAACCAAACAAACATAAAATAAAAGCATGTAAAATATAAAATTGCCTTTAATCTTTATAAATAACATGTGTATCTCGAGTCAAAGAATAATAGGTACTAAACCCTTTTAAAAATCATTCGGTCTCAAAATTATATGAAAAATATGTGTTTTTATTATGGTTTATAAAGTCTACTGCTGGACTTATGTTTTTCTAGAATATGCTCGGTGGTAAGTATTACTTAGAAGGCTTGTCCATAGTCACGACTTTGTGTAAGCGGTTTAATAAGCGACAAATCCAAGCTCGTGTATACACCTTCATCACTAGTCTATAAAGTTTGGGCTTAGCGTTTTTGGCCGGATTTCGCAGTCTTTCGACCACAACAGCCCGTCAGGAGGTAAGATTATAATTTGACGAAAGTTTGATATGTTTATTTATTTAATTAATATCCTTTATACATAAAGTCAACCACGTGCTAAGCATAAACACTTAAGCAGGTGCCATAAAAACATAAAAAATATGTGTATATAAAAAACATGTGTAGATATAAAAACATACATATAAATATTTAAATATATATTATAACGAATTTCCGCAAAGTAACGCGTGTGACGTTAATTACGGTTGTCCGCATGTTTTGTTATAAATTTGTACCATAAATTATAACTTTTTTTATTTTATTCGATCGCGTAATCTGGGGGCACTACCGTGCTGCCGCCAAGTCGAGCAAACAAGCAGCAGCAGCAGCAAGCAGTTCAGTTCATTTTTAACCCCCTATAACTTCGTTATAGATAAACATAGAAGCCTGAATTTTCAGTCACAAAGCAGGCATTATATAAACATGTTATATTTTAAATTTAATTCAATTTGAAACTGTAGTTTAAGAATAATAACTAGTCAAAGTTTCTTAATTTTTCACTCAGTCACTGACTGACGGACCGATCATTAAAACTACAAAACGACTAAAGCGACAATAGCCTAATGGCAGGGCGCGGACCGCGAACTCAAAAAGGTCGTGGGTTTGAATCCGCCATTCGACTACTGGCGTGAACCACTCGTAACACAAGCAATTTGAGCTTACCACGAGTGGTTAAGGCGAATACTAATAATGTTTATAGCATTGTTAATATTATTTTTAAAAGAAAAAAACTCTAAGGCACTTCTAGCCGGCATATAAGCTTCAAATGAACACAATTAGTGTTTAGTGTATGAATTAAGGAAAACTAAAATATTTTGCAATTTCGGTCCAGTTTTCTGTATACAATAACTGCATAAACAACTTTGTAATCCCATATAAATATATAGGATTACAAAGTTACATTTGTAGTGAATGAATCAGTGTACCTGAATATGTATAATATAAGGGAATAATAGGTACGTTGTTGATATTCAAGAAGTAGAAGGTACCGGAAAGGCAAAAAGTAGAACTATCTACAAAAAGAAATGAGATGCTATCAAAAACATAAAAACATAAAAATAATAACAACATAAAAAACAAACAAATAAAAAATAAAATAAAAACATAAAAAACAAGTTTCGCAACTCAGTTCTTTTACAGTAAAAAATTTTGAGATACATGTAATACCAAGTCGGTTAATTCATTCAGTACCTACTTAAGCTTTTTTTCTGTTTTAAGTTATTAAGTAATTAGCTAACCTAACAACATCTTATACTAAAAATCTTTTATGTTTTAAATAAATAGATTGACTTGGCAATCGCACTAAACTATCTAATTTAATATAATATGTATTACTTGTGAGATACGTTGTGTTTTCATACGATGGATCTATTTATTTAAAACATAACAGATTTTTAATATTGTCACTGTAAAATGTTGTTAGGTTAGCTAATTACTGAATAAATTAACCGACTTATTAAATTACATGTATCTCAAATTTTTACGGTAGAAAAACTGACTTGCGAGACTTGGTTTTTTAAGTTATGTTTTTGTTGGCAAATATATTATAGTCGTTACATTTCAATGAAATCTCAAACTGACATAAACTATTTTTACGGATTTTATCGTGTTTAATTTGCTTATTTTTAACTTTTCACGGTGAAGACTAAGATATTTGACGTCTCGAAACCAGTGCTTGACCACAATCCCACCACCAGGTAGTAAGTCATGATGCAGCCTTCGATAGTAAATCGCACGGTCTTAGCGTAACAAAAGCCTATTCACCCTTGCCTTGAAGATTATATACAGAAGGAAAGATTCGCCGAATTCGATTCGAAGGAAAGACGCCGCCCAATCATTCCACTCCTTTGCTGTACGCATTAAAAAAGTTGAAGCAAATCGTTTGTTTTAAATGCGTGGAATATCGACAACAAAGACCTGTCGATCATCTGGTCGTCCGAAGGTGAAAAGGAGAGGGAGGAATTAAAGCGCGCAATTACTGCGCACACTCACCGAAATGCATCCTGTAGAATACCGAGAGGCTGGTTGCTCAGCGCTTATGCTCGAGGCTGACAAGATTGGTTCAAACCAAATCAAAGTCAGCAATGATTCTCTTAGCACGTCTCTCCACTGAGTGAAACGCTGCCAGGTGGCATTTTGCAGTACCAGCCCATATGTGACAGCAGTACTCCATGCACGACCGGACTTGCGCTTTATATAAGGTAAGAAGCTGCCCCGACGTGAAGTACCACCGCAACCTTGCAAGAACACCAACTTTCCTTGGAAATGCTTTGTCTCTAGTTGAGGTTCGGAGAAAATTCAACCCCCATCAACTGAAGGCGGTCAGTGTACGCCAAGCACACATTCTGGAAAGTAGAAACCAGGGTAAGCGGGCTCCTTTTAGCGGTGAAAAGACACGCTTGTGTTTTGGAGGCGTTGATATCGGCTCTCGGCCTATGCGGAGACTGCTTGTAATGTGAGATTCACAAGCTCAAGCCTCTCTTTTGGACTGTATTTAATCCCAACTGGCCCGGACACTTGGTTGGTATCTCGCTACAACTTTGCTATCGTCTACATACCCATTGGTACCGGGCATAAGCAGATCATTAATATACAGCAGGAACAGAGTTGCGGAGAGAACGGACCTTTGAGGAACACCGGTGCCAGTTGCCACAGGATCGGATGAGCAGCCATCGACGACGAATTGGAGAGACCTTTCACTCAGAAAGTCCTTTAACCATTTAATTAGACCGTATTACAGGTCACTTTATAACGGAACCTTTACGTCCTAAAGAAAAAATACGCATCAGGGAGTCAGAGCCAGGATGTTTATGAGTAATGATGCCGTAAAGCCTCTTAGCTAAATCATTTTCTTTCACTGAAAAGATGTCACCTATTTAAGGCTCGTGAGTTGGGCGTGACCATTCACAGCGATTGAAATTGTGTCAAATATTCTTGTGCAAACCTATATGAAAAGTCTTGCACTAATAGTTGTGTAAGGTGCCACTTATTAAACTACTAATATAAGAATTTTCAAACTTATGGTCAGGCACTAGCATTAGAGACTCACCAAGTCTAGTGCAAGAAATGTCCTGGTGTTAATGGGAAGGGGTCATCAGGATATTCAGTAATTTTGGGAAAGAGGATTTCAAGCAGGCCTCTATTTGTGCCAAAATGGTGGTCAGCTCCTCAAAAGTTAAAGTGTGCTTACCAATTACTCTTTTGAAATTGAAACCAACCCAGACTCCTATGTAGAAAAACAGACAACCTTGAAAATACGGTATTAAAAATTTATAAAAATTTACTAACTTTACCTATTTAATAATTTTAGATCTTCGTTTAACAATAAACTTGACTCAAGGTGTTATTTTAGTCGCCCAAGTTAATGAGGGAGGAGAATTAATAAAAATTTTAATTAAAAAGAGAATATCAAGGATCAACGCTTGGATATTTAGTTTGGAGTCGAAATAATGTGTTTTATGTAATCATTTTTATAAGTAAAAATTTTAAACTTGTAGGTATATAATAATATACTTACAACTATTAATTATGTTGTTTGCTAATGTGTGTAATGCTTTTATTATCTATTCACATTTTTACAGTGTTAATACCATCTATAGATGACTTCAAAAAGGAGCAGTTTTTTTTTTTTAATTGAACTGAATTTTTATGTTAGTTTTACAAGATATATTTACCAATAGTAAATAGATTTTAAAAATTAATTTAATTAGGCTATATTTTGATGTCAAAGATCTCATTTAAATTTTAAGGAAAAATTTCACCTACGCATTACGCATACAAATTGCATTATACACTGTATCGTTTCCTTTCAGTCTCAGATACTTTTTTAAGTAGGCTCTTGTTTTCTTTTATTGACAAAAGAATAATTCTATTTATTTCCTATTCGCATATTAGAAATCAGCGGGATATTATAGGTGATCGGAATGTGTATATTTTCAATTAGAATATATATGTCGTTGTAGGTACTGAGACGTTATAGACGGAATATAAGAGTCGTTGGAAAAGACAGTGATGTTTTTTTTTTTAATTATTTTAGAAAATCTTCAATAGCACCTGTATTAAATAATAGACTTAATGTAATAAATTTATTCTCTAAATTGCAGCTCATTCGGTTGACGATAAACATACAGTAAAATCTTTTAAAAATATAAATTGTCTTTGCTCCTTTCAACCAACTTCAAAAAGCAAAGAGGTACTTAATTGACTATATGTTTTTGTTACCACAGAACTTTATTCTGGGTGAACCGATTTTATTTGAAAGCTGTCCCATATAAATGTAACCAAGATCTGACCAGTAGTCGTTTTAAGTTAACCTTAGTAATGCGTATTTAATTGACTTCGGATACATTGATGATTTTCTCATTTTATTTATATTGAAGTCAGTCAATACAGAATTTTTAATTTTACCACTCGTTAAGTAACATGTTATTTTGTCTCAAAAAATAACACTAGAATACTTTGGTCTCAAATTTTATATGAAAATGTTTTATTATGGTGTCTTCTGCTTAACATATATTTTTCTAGAATATGTATTACTTAATAGACTTATCCATAA